GTCCTTTTCTGTCCTTACTAGTCCTTTTATGTCCTTTTCTGTCCTTACTAGTCCTTTTATGTCCTTTTACGTCCTTAATAGTCCTTTTGTGTCCTTGCCAGTCCTTTTCTGTCCTTACTAGTCCTTTTCTGTCCTTACTAGTCCTTTTAGGTCCTTTTACGTCCTTAATAGTCCTTTTGTGTCCTTACTAGTCCTTTTCTGTCCGGACAAGTTAGGATGATACAGGACTAGTAAGGTTATTAATGGACTAGTAAGTGCGGAAAAGGACTAGTTGGGATACTAAAGGACTAATAAACACAGAAAAGAAGTAGTTTTGAGAAGTGTTTATTGCTCACAAAACGTTGTGCACAATGTTCATTTAATTTATGTTGCACGACTATATGGTGTGCTACCATGTAGTGCATGCCCCTTGGTGTAAATACGTCTGCAGCTGCAGAGAATGTTTTTCAAAACAAAGATTGATCAAATCATTAACCCTTTAATATAAGATACAAAGATAAACATGTTGCGCTACTCTGCAGCTTGTCAACTAATATGAATTTTCAACTGGGTCATCCCGGGGGGGACTCCCATATGAAACAGACGGGAATTTCATATGGGAATTACCCCCCACCCGGGTCATCCCCCAGTCTACACTATTCCTGTGTGGAAACAACTTACAAAATAAGCAACTTAAAGAATGGGCCTGTACAACTAAGTAGCGAGACTTGTTCAGTGAGAAATTCGTTCAAGTTCACGATTCTATCGACCCATGACTGTTCACTAATGAAAGTGTCTGTTCTGTATTCTCCTCAGAAGACTATCACATGACTTAGAAGTTCACACATGAAAGCTAGAAATCAGCAAATAATATGCACTCACAATGTTGCGGAATGCATCAGGATCCAGTTTATCGCAGCATTTTTTTAACAATCTGCTGTCAGCAACAAGAAAGAGGCTCGCGAAGGCGACCAGGAACTCAAGATAGGACGCGTTCATCTTTGACACAGTGCCTGAAAAGAGATTGAAAGTTTCAGCGATCACTTTGCATGACTCAGTGTTATTAGCTGTCATGTGAGACCTCTCTTATAGTTAAGTTTTAAAAGAGTGTACCTATAAATATTCTGGAACCCGGAAAGGCATCACACTAGATACAACTGACTTTAAAAGTTGAAAGAACTTAAATGTCTGAAATGCATAATCTAGTACCACTTGACTCTTTAAAATGCGTACGCCATGTTTTCCCCACAGAACGAATGTAAATTGATAGCTTATAAAGGTTGTAAAGGTCAACGTAATTATTAAAACTTGAAATTACAGCATCAGCCATCAGAAATACCACATTTCTGTGTGACAAAAGTGTTATTGAGAAAATGAACTCATACATTTAACGTAAAATTAAATTTTTTAACATCCCATACTACAGTGCTACTAAGTATATAAACCAACTTAAATTGGATTGATTTTCGGTGAGAAATAATTATGTCCCTTCAATATTCAGCATTTTGTAATTCCATGGAAAACGAAATGCGTGTGTTAATGAGAAAAAAATGTAAACAAAGACGCTACCGTCGACTGTCTACTTTAAAATAAACTGATTTCTTTCCGGTTCTCGACCAAGCTGGCTAGTTTTCCGCCAATCAAAAGCTTTCATCATCATAAGTTGTCCAAAAGTGAAAGTAAAGCCCAAAATGTTGCTATTGTAAGAAAAACGAGTCCATTCAAATTCTTTTCAATTTCAAAAAATGTAGACGAATTTAATAATTGCGTTACGGGGTGCCTTTAACAGTCAGTGCGTTACGCATGCCTTACGTTGCACGTGTTCAGCGGAGATAAAAAAGTTGCCTTGGTAACCCCGTTGTTGTAGTCTGGAATGAGAAAGAAATTCTCGAAGAAAGGAACATATTTTGCTGAACAATTACTGCCACAAAAAGAGTTTGTATCGGTAGGTACACTGTAAAAAATATTTTAACCAAGGCTATAAAAAAATATCGTATAAGCAATCCTCGAATAAACATCTCGTGCGAATACGAGCGAAGAACACTAGCGGAAAATAAGCTGAAATGATATATATATCCAGCTGTCGAGGAGTAATACTGACGTGGTTTCTCTGCACAACAGTGAGAAGAAAAGAGAGTCTCCGAGGACTCAAATGAAAAATAAAATAAAGTTAAGTAAACAGCGAACAGAACGCTCAAGGAAGTTTAGTTTATATCTTGAAACTTCATCACACGGAGTCAACTTACACAATAGAGTAAAAGTGGTCAATGCTTTAATAAAATTATAAGATCAGTGCAAGTAGTAGAAATTCCAATGTCCTTAATTATGAGAAAGAACACGCCTTATATTTATTATTTTTGACTGTTTCTTTTACTTTTGTTTCTTTTGAGCATCGAGACCAAAATTTAAAGGTCACTGTAGTAATACTAATGAATGCTCAAGTCCTTGTTGACAAGTAAATGGTTAATTTATGCATCAAAAACATCCTTTGTAAAGTCATGTTATGTCCCCTGAATTTATAGGAACGTAAACGAAAATAAAACCGGGGCCCATGTTTGATATTTAAAGTTCATATAGGTTCACCCCAAAAAGAAATTCCAAAAAACTTAAAAATGTGATGGCCCATGATTTTTTTTTAAAGTACTTTCAGTACTATAGGCAACAATTTTTTTTTTTTTTAAAGCTTTTCAGTACTATGGTCCAGGAAATGCCCACATATTACAGAGCAAGGGTGCTGATGTGGGAGTTATGAAGTTCTATTGCACAGAGTATTCTACTCATTATGGAAAGGAAGGTTTCATACCAAGAACTGGACGCCATTATGGCACAGGATATCAATCTAATTTTAGACCAGGGGTGTATTACAGTCGACGTCTGGACGAGCTTGACAACCCAGCAATGGGGTAGGTTATGCATACATTCTTGTATTTACAACGGCCAAAAAAAAAAAACTATATTAATATAATAATAAATATTTATATAGCACCTATACTTTTCAGTGCTAAGCGCTAACTAACTCTAACTGGCTCTATTGATAGTAAATACATTGACAAATATCATTGTACAGGTGTATGCAAGCACATTATTGTTTGTTGCGTAGGATACAGGAGGGGCAGAATTACTTGCGTCACTCTTAGACAAACCCTTTAAGTGCTGGTCCTAAAAGTGTTGATCTTGGAGAGAGTGGACAATACCATCATGTAAACAACTAGCTAGTTTCCAGCATAATATACTCTACTGGCATTTTTGTTGTTGTCTTGCAGTCGTCTCTTAACAGACAACTATTCATCCATTACCAAGAAACACTTCTTGCCATCAAAAGGATCAAGTGGCACTGACCCCTTCTCTAGAGGGCTGTATATGACAGCAACAAGTGGTTTTGTCAAAGACATTCCTGTCACCATTCCACGATCAAGACAGGTTAGCAAAAGTAATATGTTTCACGAATCTACTTAGCCCCTACATTTTTCATTTAATTATAATTACAATAAAAATTTTGCTGCTGTATTTTTTGTAGGGCAATCACAGGTTAACACAACTATAATCCAGACAATGTATGACTTTGTTTTAATGTAGTATCAACCTCTGTAACCCTATCCCTAACTTAGTGAGTTACAGGCCAGGGTTGATTTGATCCAGTGCATTATAAGTTTTGTTATTGACTCAAGTTTCTCCAGCTAAATAGATAAGGTATTTTTTGTATGAACACTTTGCAATTTAATATCTGATACGTGTAGGTGAGGGATGTTCATATTGACACCAAAGCTAAGGGCACAGTTTACCCATTCCATCGTCCATTGTTGCACACGCTCAAAGCCAAGGATCCAATCGGCAGGGAAAATGCTTTCCATGTAAGTACTTGTCATACATTACTTCTGGAGTAAAGTTCAAGTACAGGTACAGACAACTCCCATTATTGCCTTACCCCTGGGACCACTGCAAGTTAGTGTCCTTAATAATACTGTAACAAGAGTTCAATTTAGAGGAGTGCAGCTGGAAGAAATTTCATTCAAAATATTTGCTTTTAAAGATATCATGTCTTAATATTTAGTCTGACTGTAGAATGAACCAAGTCTAGCACAGAAAATAACTATTTGCAGGACAAACTGGTATTGAGACTGGAAAGTTGGTCTTAAGACAGACTAGTCTTAAGACTAACAGTTTTGAGGCGGGAAAGTTGGTCTTAAGACAGGTCAGGAGAAGAATGAATGTTAAGGATCTGTTTAAATAATAATTATTGATACATATGCACGTAACAGAAAAAATAATGCTAACCTTACTAAAAAGGTATTTAACTTTGGTAAAAACAGAAGATCAGAAAAAATCCTGCTGTCTTTTGCAAAAAGAGTAATATGGAACAATAAAATCAAGTGCTGACAAAACTAAAAACTTACAGGTAGGCAGGTACATGTAAGTCCATATTTAAAAGCGAGAATTTGCAATAATGGGAGTGTTTGAGTTAAACTTTATATTTTTCACTGGCCATTTAGCAGCTGTCTACATTAGCAAGGTCTCCATATTAAGGCAAGACTTGACTGACATGCAACTAATAAACCTGCACAAAAAGACAAGGTGGTAGCCCTATAATACAAGGTGTCTGTAATAATTAACTTTTTTCATTCCTTTTCCATTTGGTTGATCACTCGTTGTCCTGATATTATAAGAAGCTGCTAAATACAACACACAACATATGCGAAATGTAAAAATGTATCTCTGACTCATATTCTAATTAAATTTAATTTATAAATATACCAGTAATTTATTTAGTATGCATTTGTACATTTTCAGTAGTAATGATCATACTTTTCCTTCTTTTAGGGGCCAAGCTATATGTCAACTGAAAACCATACAAACTTTCTTGGAATTCCTAGTCAGCGAAGTAAGTACCACAACTAGAAAATAATATTTATTGTTAATAAAATCAAGAACATACAAATGTATTCAATTAAAATAATTGTACAGTATACCTTAGGTGTATTTACTTCATAGAAAATGTACATTTACAAGTACTTCTGATTTATTTCTGCACAAAAAGTGATAATAAATGATAATTAACAAGGATAATTAGATTATGATAATGCAATCATGTAGGTACATGTACTAGCTTAATTAAAACACACATGTGTGAAAGGCAGTTTACATAATATTGTATGGTTATGTCGTGTGAGTAATTGTTCAAAGAACCTAGTAGTATTTACAATATAACTGAATGAATCAGAAACTTTTAATGGGATTTGTTGGTACATTGTGTGATTTGCGTAATTTGATGATGTCATTATAATGGTTTCAATATATATTTTTTTACTTTTAGTGGATACCTCAACAAAAACTGTTGGTTACAAGGAAGGTTCAGGTTTCACGCATGCTTACAATGATGAACCAATCACTTTTTACCCAATGGAAGCTCATGAGGGAATAAGAGATGTAGGAAGCTTTAATATCATGCTCTCTAATAATTTAAGACCCATTGAATTGCAATGGTATAATTATCAAGTTCAATAAATTAAAGGATCAAAATTTTAAAAGTTAAAAATCCCCAAAAGATAAGATTTTCCAGAGATTTGCATGATCTCCATGCAATGTTCACTTTAAGTGATTTTCTCAACATGATTGTTTATCTTCACTGAATACCTGATTTAACCTTTAAATTTTATTCAACAGTCTGTGCTGGCCAGTACTAAAGTTTTATAATAATTAATATTATATGTCAGAACCAAGTTGTTTGAAAGACATTAGCATAAATCCAAGCAATAAATATAAGGGGTGAGAAAGTCAGGTTAGCGATATCTAAGAGATTAAAGTCTGTGATTTAATTAAAAAGAACCTCTCCAAAAAAAAACTGGGGAAAAGTAATAATTATTGTACATTGTATGTTGCAGTTAATTTTTTATTGCAGGAAATTTTTCTTTTTCCTTTGCTTTTGGGTATGGTAAAATTAATATATACTTATGAAGTTGAAACAAAGAAAAAATTACCTGAGGTAAAAAATTAACTACAACATGCGCATTAGAGTGTTAAAAAAGGATAGAAGAAATAAGTCACTGTTCATTTATCAAGACATTTCTTTGATGGTAATGTTTGATTTTCAGCCACGATGGACTTATAGGCCAACTGGATCTAGTATCATGAAGAGGGATTTCCTGCCAGTGGAATATCTTCATGTATGTGAAGCTGTATGCAATATGTTAAAAACATTACAATGCATTATGTCCTGCACAGATTTGACCCAAGTAGTGTGCATTCAATAATTTTTTAGCCAAATACTGCAATTGTTTTGTTTTTATCAAGGTCCTTTGTACATGTACTTATGAAAGCTTACAGTTGTTTGTATCCAAGGATTGAGTGGATCTAAAGATTTTAAAGGACAACCACAAATTTACTTACTACTTTTTTACGTTGATCTTTCAAGTTTTGACAGACAAGCCCGTGGTAAAGTGATTGAAGACCAGGCTATTGTGTTTAAGCAATGCTACAGTGTATATCTTTTAAAAACTAAAAATAATAGTAAAACAAAGTAAAAAATCTGCCATCATTGACATTCTCTTTATCACTTGAATATCACTTCAAAAGGGAAACGAGCATCTTCCTGTTTTGTCTCATGGATCAGAAAGAAATACAGGATTTACTCATGGCACAAAAGCAAGACCAGTTTTCTATTCAAAAGTAGGGCAGGTGAGGTCCATTTTAAGGGTATTGTTCATGATCAGATCTGGTTCATGATGTAATTTTAGAATAGTCTCCTGGACATAGTTATTGCTTCCTCTTGTGTAATCACCCATCAAATGAAAGAAGCCACTGTGTTGGAGACAATTGGCAATGGAGAAAGAAAAATTTCTGTTTCTGGTATCTGGTACATGTACAGTAAGTCTTGATTTATTGATTTCTTGAGGCTGTGTTCCAATGTTAACTCGCATTTTACTCTGCAAATATTTCTAGCAGGCTCTGAATACGGTCAATCCTTCTTCAAGCGTGGGGGGGAGTACTTCGTATGATGGCCTATATGCTATACAGGAGGGGGTCTACTGGAAACGGGTATCTTTTTCAGGCTTCAGGTATATGACAGGGTAGGTATTTTACTCGTTGAAGTATATAAAAAGGTAGGGAAATCTGTGATTTGGGTTGTGAAAGGGTGCAAAAGGGCTAACAGATGGATTTTATGGCTTTATAAAGTCGAGAAAACGTTCTGTTTTTTTGATTGATTCCTATTTAAACGACAGTACATTTACAGCAGTTAAAAGGGGTGCAAAGTTCTAAACAAGGTATGTAAAAGGGGTACCACTTGTCAATAGAAGGTATTCTAAACTAGGGGTACCTTTTTCGTGAAAAATGGTAAAAAGGGTAAGGGGTTGGACCTCGGGGCGGAGCCTCCCCGTATAAACATTTGTTGAGTACCTCTTGGGGTTCAAACCGCGCTCCTTCCAAAACAAAAACAACAATAACAACAACTACAACCCTATCACCAGCGAAAATCAGTGCTGCCATCCTTAGAGAGAGAATGCGGATAAAAAACTTGCACCTTCCCGATGAAACTTACCGTCAGTGGATTTCTTCACTTCATTGTTCTTTTCAGGAATACACTAAACTCGGCGATGTCCATCCTCGAGCCCAGGAGCGAATAAAAAAGATGGATCCGGCTGAATATTCCAACATGACGAACCCACACACTTTCTCCAGGTATAAATGAAGTTGATTGTATGAAAATTGTGTCTTCCTACACAAGTAATTCAGTCAGTTATCATTTGCGGTAATCGCAGGATTGGTTCAAATAACAGCTTCGCAATCTTGACCAAAAAAATGCATCTCTCCATTCGTCCGGCATTTTATGGGGAGAGACTGGGTATCCGCGCGAAAATAATCTCGTCCCCAGTCTCTGAGATCTTCGGCTTCTTGGACGTGTAAAGCGTTTGAGTAGTCTGCTACACAGCCGTTTTAGTGAGTGCTGTGTAGCAGACCAGCGTTTGAGTGGATTGCCAAATTTCTTCAGTTCGTTCCGCAAACAAATTCATTGCCCAAGTTTGCACAGCCTTGCCCGCATACAAACAAACAGAACCGCTCCGCAGGGGCGAAGAGAAACGCCACATGAACGGTGTATTCAATTTATATCTATTTTTCTGTACCTCCTTCAATAACTCAATGCCGGATTAATGCCGGCACCCGTATCGTGCGCTTGTGGAATAATTGTGGAATAGACAAATACTATACTATTGCTGAAATATCATGTTTTCTTTTCTTTAGCATTGCCAAGCTATCATTTAAAGGCAAACAGAGAAATGATCCAACTGAAGCGGAAAGACTGGGTAACGTTTCCACTGGAACAAAGGTAAGTAAGTTTACTTTCAGAAATTTGGAGGGGCGTAAGAAGGGTCAGCCATCGGCTGCTCATTTCTCCCAAAAGACAAACCCCGACAGAACTTGCATTGGGTGCAGTAATGATTTCGCACTTGGGCACCCTTTGACATTCTAGTCGTACTTCAGGATGTTTGTCAGATGAGCCTCGTTTAATGGGCTTACCTTTTGCGAGTCTCTTGTAACTCAGTGGTAGAGCAGAAGGTCATAGGTTCCTCTCCAGCTAGGAGAAACCGGACTTTTCCTCTTTGAATTGCCTATGTCACTGACTGAATAAACGTCATTCCCAATAAATTAGGTCAATTAGCTACAAGCATGATTAATATTAAAGAGTGGTTCAGGGGCGGATCCAGGAATTTTTTTAGGAGGGGGTGCACTCGTCTCTTCCAATAAACCACATAGTTTTTTTGCAGAATACCAGTTTCCCGCAGGTCATCTCATGCAAGCTCAGATCCGCCCCTTTTGATTGTAATTTGATATGCAAGCTCAGCTTTGGAGGCTTTAACAAGCTTCTTTAAGCTAGTTCTTTTTACAGAAAACTGAAAATTACTACCGACACACTTATACTCGACAGACTAAATTCTACCATGAGTTTGCTAGATAAAAAAAATAATAATAACAACAACATAAAATGAAATAGGATAGTAGCGCATCAACAGTAAATGGTGGATATCTTGCTCATTGCTTGCCGTAACACTTCATCTCGTAACATATCCGGACGTACGGTTTCAAAATCTGTATTAAACGAGATGTTATGAACCTCTTAGTGTCGAGTCCTTAACATTCCCTTACAAACTTCAACCTTACTTGCTTGAATATTTTAGGAACTAACTGGGTACAGTGAAAATAACGACCAATACTTTGAGACAGCGGAGACTGCGGACTCACTTAGAAGATTTGAAACTCACTACAATGCCAAGTAGGTATTCATTATTTAGAGGATGATAAAACATGAGTTCATTAAATTGGGAAGAGAACCTATGCTACCTACTCTTTTCCCTCTTTCGCCAGACTGACTGCAAAATATTCGATTTTTTTTCACAAAATCGGCCTTTTTCAAGGCAGGGTGTGTAAGCGAAGAGGGGCGACACCTCTTTCGCGAGGCGACTTATAGAGGTGAAAAATATTTGTGCTCGGTATTACACTCTCCATGCGTTTAGTATACTTGTCGGTATGCCTTTTGGGAGAACACTAAGGGACTCTACTGATTAGATATTAACGTATTTTCTACTTGCCAGCAACTTACTTGAAAAACCTTTGAACTGCTTAAGTGACACTATCCCTATGGCGATATCTAATTTTGCTTTTGAATAGACACTATAACATGAATCCACGAGGCGATGACAGGATGGGTCGCACTGAGGGCAATGTATTTACTCAGCTACCAAATGGTTTCACAAAAGGAACTAGCGTGCACACAATGGGCCCTGATATCAACACTACAGCCGAACTACGCTGGCAGAAACCTTATGTAGCCAGGTATGATAATCACATTCATTGCTTTAATAGGTCTAGTGTTACATTGTAGCTGGCGTAAAAACTCTGCCTCTAGTAACTGTATGGTACCGTTGTATTCTTGCATTATAATTGTAAATTTCTTCTGTTCTATTTTGTGGGAGGCCTGTTTTAAGAATTAAGGTTTCTTTTCCTGCTTTCTCGCCACTTTCTGTTCTTGCATGTAACCTTTTATTTATCGTCCTTTGCCAGGCTCTCCGCAGATACAGTGTAGTAGGGGCGTCGCGAAAATAAAACAGCAAAGCAAAAATTGGAAAAAAAAAGGGTGATCCGGTAAAGGGGTCTCTCTCCTCACCCCCCGTGCATTTTTCGCTTTCACTTTTTACCTTTTTACTGCACGGCTGCACATTACTACATTGGAGCCTGAAACAGGCTACAACTGCCTAGTACTCCAAATCCTACTTTTGTAAATTTTTTTTTATTTTTATTTCAGGAGTATTAAAGCTAGAGATCCGTACTATGATGACCACACCCATGATGCCAAACTGCACACGGCTGTTGCAATAACTGCTTAATCAGCTGGAAAAAAGGAAAGTGAATTGGAACAAATCTGATCAGGATTCGCCGTGAAACGATCTTAGCAGAGCTGCTTCGATTCTAGACTTTGCCGTAATTTCATTGTTTACTCTACAAAAATCTAAAGGGAACGAAAAAGTGTCACTACCCTCATTTATCAGTGGTGCTTTATATTGATGACTTCCTGTATGTTTTTTTTTTTTAATTTTAAAGTAAGTAAGACTTGTACCTTTCGACGCAAATAAAGCGTCTCTCATGGCAGGACATGTTTGATTTAGTATACTAGTAAAGAGGCTGGGAAAAATCATTGCTTGCAACATTTACGTACTGTAAAAAAAAATGGTTTCTGGAATCCTGTTACTTCAGTCACATTACGTGAAGATGACTGTCCTGAGTGATAAAATAGCTTTCGACGAACAACTGATTCCTTCTTGTATTAATAGAGAAAACAAGGTGAATAAATATGCTTCGAAACTTTTATTTAATACTATAGTGTTTTCATTGGTATGCAATGCTTTTGGGCATAAAAGAAACTCCCAACCATCCCACTCTAGCTTTGGGTGATGGACCTGACTGGTTCAGTACCTCCCTAAGCTGACTGGCCTTCAGAAGTTTTAAAGGCTAACTTATGTGAGGAATTCCTTAAAGTTTCTTGAGAAAACTATCGTCACTCCAGTTCAAATTGTTGTTGTTGTTGTTGTTGTTTTCTATGTTTTTGCTTTTTTTTTTCGGGGTTTTTTTTTTAGAAAAGTCTCAAAAATGCGATTCTGATCTGGCAAAAGAAGCAAGTCCATAATGCCTGAAATCTTAGCAACGGATTTGTAGCTGCTTAAACCGTCGCGGAGTGGTCAAATTCTCCACAAAAGATCATTTAACGTCGCTTTGAATAGAACGGCGGAATGAATGCAAACATATATCAAGTCTCTGGGCTTTCATTAGTCCTATAAATAGTGACTAATTAGCATGCACTGTCAAAAACATTAGTAGAACGCGAATACTCCGATGGGTTTACTAACAAAGTCCTTGTTTGTTGTCGGTAACTGTAGATCTTTAAACGGTTTTCAGTGTTTCCAACGCAGTGTGAGAATACCTGTTGTGTTTCACGGGTTACCCGTCATGGCGAAATTCAAATTTTGAAGAGTTTCTTCGCACTTTTAAACTGTTATCCTGTTTTGACAGGTTCTCAGATGATTATAAAAGACCTCGCGAGTTTCCGTTTTTTTATTCCTCGTATCCCTTTCCTTTAATGAAAAAGGCACATTGCAGAGATTGCCCTTTTTATTTTGAGCAACCTGTCAAAATCGCAAAAGTTTTTTTTAACTTGTTTTAATTTCTTAACCAATCAAATTGTCCCTACCTTTTTGTGTTGCATGATTTGGAATCCTGTGGTCTTTTTTCTTTACATAAACCTATGAACTCAAGCGAACTTTCATGATCATCTCAATGAAACGAGTTCAGTGAAGATTTATTCGATAGAAGGGCTTGCTGGTCAATCAGGGTAGTACCTAGGCATCAATCCGACGTTCACTATAATTCCGCGGAAGTTAACTGGATTTGAGGTAACACCGACTCTTGTTAAATCTCAATTTTATTTGCATTCGATACTGCTGCAGTCATCGAGACATGTCCGTCGCTTTTCATTAAACACAGAGATTTTTATTTTCAAATGATTTTTCTGTCAGCAAGAACTGCGTTTATAAGTGCAGTAGCGGAGAATAAGCTTACTTTCATGCCGGGTTTAACCCATCCGTGGCAATACTAAATCACGGACAAATGTTGCGGATCATATACGGATCTAGCGAATCAGATTTTCTCGGGACATTCTTCAGGTTAAAAGACCCTCGATACAACAGAAAGGAAATTAATAAACAAAACAGGGCATTGGAGTATTATTGATTTAATGACACTAGGGCAATCTAAATGTGGATAAACAATTGTTTCAGAGTTGTGTTGTTTATGGGTTCTGAGCCAATGCAAAAGGGAGTCTGTCAGTCAGTTGGGTCGTATATGCATGGAAACTGAGTTACCAATGCAGTGTAGAGATGTGAGATATTCTCTCGACGGCTCAATATAATAAACTTGTTTGAACTCTTCAATATCATGGCAGTGGCCGAGTTGCTTGAAGGACGATAAGCACCAATTTAGGGTTAGTTACCATGGCAACTAGATAAACCCAGGATTTTAGAGCCTCCTCTTAGGGATACCACGCTGCGCAAATGGATACCAAACGGCTTTCCCGGTAACTTTCACATCTCTTGTAAGCGGAAAAGCTAACCCACCTCTCACCTTCCCCTTAAGTGGATAGTAAATCAAACCAAGTCGAAAATCCATAAAAGCTAAAAGTCCGAATCGTTACTCGATACTTGAAAGCAAAAAGAAAAGTTGAAAAGTGACTAAGATGCAACAATACTTTCCCACCTAAGCCGAAACTTCCCTTAATGTAATATTGACCATTCAGGTTGCCTTGGTGCATAATGTGTAACCTCCGCCCCCTCCATAAAAGGGAGTCGAAGAAAACATTACTAAGGAATGGCATTCACCAGTCCAGGAACTGTTTTCTCATAGAGGTCTCCGCTAAGAGAGATTTAACGGGGAAACGCTAACCGATTTTGCTTTACAATCCAGTAGCCTGTCTATACTTCTCATAGAATGGCTACTCTGGCTGGCCCATGTTTGGCAATACTTCTTGGTTTATGCCTTACGGTACTACCGTCCGAATCTACCCCAGACCTCAAAGATGAAAGAGGAAAAGCCTCTGTAAATAACAAAGGTATACTAGTTGATGTGATTCGACAGCCAGAAAAAGGAACCGAGAGAGGACTGGAGGCTTCATACATAAGAGGAAAACGTAAGTTCTGAACTGAATGCAACCTCGCTAAATTGCCTTAAATATCATGGTCAGTAATTATTGCCTTAAATATCATGGTTACTAATTATTAGTGAGCTTACGCAACAGGACGGGAGAAGAAATAAGACGTTGCAAGACTTTGCGTTTGGGTTGGCATACCTGTTGATTGAGTTATTTCGCATTGGTATGCGTGGTGAGGACGGGCGGGTGCACAGTCACTTGATTAAAAGTCACTACCAAAAATTCGCGGATGCATAGATAACCAAATTTTCTTACCCATGGTGCTCTTCTGCGCGAGAGCTTCGCCACAAAAATTCTTTGGGTTGATCAAGATCGGACGCAGTGTTCGTCAAAGGTACTTAGGGGACATAGTCACTGTTGTCACGGTCTATCACAAAAAACACATTCACATATTGGGGCTACATTTTACTTCATATAGCGTAAACTGCCACCCAAGCAGTCCAGAAAAAATGTTCCAACTTGGCGTTTGAAGGACTAAGGATTATTGTTATGAATTTACATGAAGCTCTTAGGAAGATCTTAATTTATGAGTTGTTTTGTAGGATCAAAGTCATGGGGGTCTTGTAAACCAGTTTGTAGAAGACGATGCCTGCCGACATGCAACCTGGTCTGCTGCATAGCACCACCTTACGCAGTTCCAAGAAAGGTGGCGAAAAAGCTCGAGAAACAACCGGACACAGGATATGCAAGAAAAAAGAGTGCTATCCAAAAACATGCAAAGAAAAAGAAAACCGTAGCAAAAAAACTTACCAAGAAGAAAAATATAACAGCCAAGAACAAGAACAGAGGCGTGTGTAAAGTGAGTTGCCAAAAAGCCTGCCTGCCTTCCTGTGAGTTTAGATGCTGTATGACACCTAAAGAGAAACTGAAGGAAAACTGACAGTCATAACAAGTGCTGGTTGCTCGAACTCTGCACGTGCTTATGTCTGTATTTAAGAATTCTGAAAAAGAAATTGAAGGTTAAACTCTGCAGTGTTCGTGTCTTGCTTTCCCCTTGCGTATTTTTTTTTTAGTTTGAGAGTCCAAGATACATCATAGTGTAAACGCTACCCTCAAAGCAAAGAACTGGCATCAAGTGTATTTGCTGTCAATATACTTATAGTACAAAAGTGTTTACTTTTGCACTACTTTTTTCCTCTCTTGGTGAAAATGAGTTTTACTTGCATAATAAAAAGCCTTTCCATCTCAATGGCTTCGCACTAAGCCTCACTTTAAAACAGAGACCTTGAGCAACTCGGATGGGTCTATATGGCCTTGGCACTCTTGCTTCATTACGCGTGTGTCGCTCATTGATAACCAGTACAGTTGTAGCTAGAGGTCTAAACTGTTTAAAAAATCTCTTTGACAGCGCAGTTTCTTGGATCTTGGAACTTTCTTCTGAGCGGGAATGGGTATCTAATTCATTATCGAATTATCATGACATGAATATGGCGTAAAAGAATTACTATAGTCAATCCTCCTTTACGACAGACTCAAAATGAGGGACAGAAGCAAGTTTCTGCATCATAGAGTGTAAGTGTCTGCATTATAGAGGAAGAGATTATAGTTCAATATCTTCAGGCCGGCCATGGAGAATTCTGCCTACTATAAACAGAAAGGTGTTCGTAAATGTCTTTTGTGCTACATAATTGACCTAAAGTAGAGGTACCGCGTGTTAATTGACTGTAGTGTTTTAACTCGAGATGGCTAATGTCTCTGATCTTACAATCCAACAGCAATGTGATTTGATTGGTTAAACGGCGAAAGAAAAAGAAAGTTGCAAACAGCAGGTTGTGTACTTTAACCTGCTGGGGGACGTTTAGGGAGGGTGGGACCGGAGAATTACTGAACGTCACTGTCATCCTGATTGAGAAAGTTGTCATTTTTTCATAGCCAGTGAATTTCATTCACTTTGTTTCTCTTCGGGTTTGAAAAGCATTATGGGCCCGTTTTTATAGATGCTCGCCTTATGAGGTAATGCGTGAATTTAATCTGCCACTTTACTGGCAAATAATAACAAGTTTATCCCGGCAGTCTCCCGCGAAGGGCTACATCATATGTAAAAGTGGTAACTTAGTGCACTAAAACTGTCTTTCTTGAATCATTTCATAGATTTTCAAACACTCGGAGGGGCTAATGGACCAGCAATTTATCAAGAAATGCCACTAAAAGTGTGAAATAAAGTGTAATAACCATTTAGCTGTTTTAACTGCTGAATATTTCATGTAAAAACAGTCCCGTGGCTTCAATATACGATACGGTAAAATATTTACCCGTAAGCAGGTGAAAGCCCATAGCCTGTGTGCGCTGAAAACATATCGCAAGGGTAAGTTCTGTTTACTTCTTCTAAAGGAACCTTAATTTCCTTGAGAAAAATAATCTCAGAAACGCTCGTCAAAATTCTTTTTGGGAAGTCGAGAAAAATGGATGGTTTTACAAGTATCCCGTTGTAACATAACAATAGGGTCAGTCACATGGTAGGCTTTTGTAAGATAGAAATTCTCTTACGTCTGGCTCTTAATTTAAAGGCTAGCTATTGCGATGTAAGGAAGACTAGAAAAGATATCATTTCTTTGACCAAGGCAAGTAACAAGCGCAAAGACAGATCAAGTTTAGATGAAAAAAAAGCGCGCTAAAAAAATGCTGTAGAAAGACTAAACTATTATAATTGCGAATACCAGCAATAATCACAAAGAAGGCTTTGTGATACGTTTTTCCACACATGAAATTATTCTGTGGTGCCATCGCAACAATTTCGATGCTACGCGTGGTTGCTTATCGAGATACGCCATAATATTCAAGTTCACTGATTATTTGTAAGGAAAAAAATGATATCAAATTTAGCGAAGATGCGGCAGTATGAAGTCTAAAACAATAAGTCAGTTATAGCGAACAACCCGCCGAGTCAGGAATAAACAGGAAATATTATTTCTAATCAAAGAGCTTGGGGCAGTGTAGTTGCAATGATCTTGTTACAAGGATGTGGTGCATAGCAAGTGGGAAAAGTTCAATTTAACTACGTTATATTATTGACTGACAGTGGGCAAACTTGTAAAGATTGCTGTCTGTATTTTGTTAAAAAGTTTTGGGGAGATTACTCCCTTTATTGTTCGGCTTGACCTCTTAAAGGACAAGAGAGGAAAGGAAACTATCTTTAAAATCAGTAGATTGTATAAGTATCACGTGAACTAAACTCGATTTTATACCGCTTGTTTCTATTCCTGTATTTAGCTTCGCATTTCGTTTTGTGTTTCCTGGTGTCCTTTAAATTGGAGCTGGATGGTCTCTTGACCTGACGCGATAATGCAACATGACTGAAAACAGTCACTTTTCTGATAGATCTTAGTGAAAATCCTTGTAAAATTAGCTCTAATTAAACTGCGTCCAGTTTGCGTTTGTTCTTTTCCTTGTGCTTAGGCTTGCGCTGTATTTGAATAACCCGGCCCTGGGGCCCGTTTCTCGAAAGTCCCGATAATTAACGGGCCCGGTAAGCTGTCTCCGTTTACATTAAAGATCGAGGTTTCAATAGTTTTTTATCTGACACGATAAAACTGTCAGTAAATGAAACAAAATGGAGTATTTTGCTAGCCAGGACCCGCGGTCTTATTCTTTATATTTCGATTTGAATATTTGATTTCGGGCCCGTAAAGTTACCGGGACTTTCGAGAAACGGGCCCCTGGTTGTTCAAATGTTGAATAGCGCTATATATCCACTAGATATATCACTATCCAGCGGATAAGTGTTAGAGAAAACAATTGGGTTACTCAGTCGGCACTGGGTAGAGATACATCCACTGGATAGCATCATCCTCCTTTTGAACAACTGGGGCTAGCTCTTGGAATTTATCTTGAATTTTGAACGTCAGCAGGAGAGATATTTGTAAATATACGCGTGCCGTTTGTAAATAGAACGTCGCGACTTTAAAAATCAAATTTCTTCAGATGTGACTCAGTTAAGTGAAGTAAAGGATGACTAAAGAAACCCGTTCATGGCCTATTGTGACTAGAACCCCTTTGAAATAATTCAATGTGGAAAATTAAGTAGTTCAGGCTCAACTAAAAAGCCAATCTCGTTCCCAGGATCTCTGTCCCTGTCATTGTTGACCTAAATAATAAGAGAGAGACTGGGGCGAAGTTGCGATTAATATAAGCGCAGTGAAACTGACGTCAGAGTGATAGCCGCATGTCCAAAGGTTTCATGTGCAGGCAAGTCAAACTAAGCCAGTCAGCTTATTTGACTGAGGTCGCTCGCGCAAACTTAAGCTTAAAATGAGCGATCTCGTATCGTCGACTGAGAATCAGGCTACCGAAGACAAAGCAAACGTGACTGTAAATACCAGCGTCAAGCAGGGTGGGTATAGGGCACTTATCTGCCTCTGAACGATTGCCCAAAAGAGCCTACAGGCAACAAAGGCCTAAGAGGAATTTTTATGAATACAAAATGTTTTTGCCTTTTCGTTCCTAGGTGGAAGGGTGACGCCAGTGGCCATGAAGTCGGCTGTGATATTTTTTTTGTTCTCGCACTGGTTTCGGTTGCAAATGGTTTAAAGCACAAGACTGGTAAGGGAATTTGTGCAATGTTTAAAATCTCGTCTGAACATTTGTTCAAAAAGCACGGTACTTGTAAGATTTTTGATCCGTACATTTTATATTTTTTCCCCTTTAGGTCATGGTGGTAGAAAGTCGGTAGTAGTTGTGAATCCCGTCCAAAGTGAGTTACGTTACCCTTAATGACACATTTTCTAAATCAGTTCAATATTTGTACCCGCGATAGCCCTTAGACCGGTAGCAGCCCTCTTTTTTCTTATGAATTTTATTTGATAAACGCGGCCGTGAACGGATAAGAGAGGGCGAGGGGCTGATAGTGGAAAGCGAAAAAAGACCCCTTCCTCTCCCTTCTCGCCGATCTTCGAGCTCAATCCAATCCACAGACTATCCTGCACCTCATCTGCCTACAAGTAGCTTTCTTGTAAAGCTCGTAGACAATTGTCACTAATCAAGACTGTATGTTGTGATTATTAATATAATACACTGCTACTGGCTAGTACTAAGGTATAAGAGGTTTTTTCCTTGCGTGCGGGGAATCCGTCGTGGTCGACAGCGGGCCGACTGATCACTTTAAAGAGTAGACTGAAACCAGAAACCAGGCATGAAAGGTCTCAGATACCCAGTTTATGTCATTTAAGCTTGAGAAGCAAAAGGTTAATTGTCTTCAAACATTTTTTTCTATCGTAGGATCTGCCTGGGAGTGTCATCCGGGTTGCAGGAGGTTCTGTCTTTCCTCCTGTAAAAGAAGCTGCTGTGCACCCGGGGCCCCGAATTACACCCCGGACATGTTTCCCCAACTTGTCAGTTACCAAGCCTCCCTACCCCCTCCTCCCCCTCCACCTCCAGCATGCCCTACGGGTTGCCCATCCACCTGTTATCCTAGCTGCGACGCAGGTTGCTGTTTTCCCGTTAATCAAGCTCCAGTTTATCCTCAGTATTCAGCTAACCCATACAGTACTGGATATGGGGGATATCCCACTGATCCCTGCGCTGCACAGGATTGTTCTGCGGAGTGCGCTCCTCTTTGCAAGCCAGGTAAGCATAGTTAATATTCTTCTTTTGTCCGCAGTGTTTCCCCTCTCATCAGTATATCACGCTTTTTGCCTGAGCTGCTATCCTCTTACTTTTTGTTGATTAGACTGTTGTCGCTCCCAAGCCTTGAATTTGAGTATTCGGCCAGTGTATTTAGGCAGTAAAGATTCTCCTGCTACTTCAACTTCTCCTAAGAAGGTCGCAGCCGAAAAGAAACCCCCGCCACCAAAGAAGAAACCTGCCGTAGACCTGAAGAAGCTTGCCGGAAAGACAAACTTTTTGTGTGTACGTCCGTGCCAAAAACTATGCAAGCCTATATGCAAGTAAGTCATGTACTCCCAAAGTATAGGAGTAGATCACATGCACGCAGGACAATGAAATGAACATTTTAAGGGAAAATGTCTTAAAATTTTAAAGATAACTTTTTTGTGAAAGATTAATTGCGCTTAGGTACAAAATTATTCTACGACACGACTTTTTAACATGCAGGTACTATACTGTCTAAACTGGAAAAATGTTAAGATAAATGTAGAATCCATAATTATTATCATCCTGTGAATACTTCCCGCCTGTTCACTTCCTGTAGCTGGGGACCACAAAGAGTCCCCAGCACATGAGGGACAAAAACTAGGCAGCGTTAACTTTTGCAAGCCGTCTGGGCTGTTACTAAGGACCACAGGGAGAAAATGGGCCCCTAACTGACTGGCAAGTCCTGAGTAACCATCCCAGAAACAATTGCGGGACACATTTCGGCTCCAGCCCCCTTCTCTTTTCTTAAGTGCGCGAGGAGACAATTATCTGTATTGGGCTATCTCTAGGTGACGCATTGACATCTAGAAGAATCAAAACTCGTAGAAAATAATTTGTTAACCGGAAAGCTATGTCAGTGGTAGTATTTTCAAAGGGTCAAATTGATGCAACCTATTTCCCGGGGCAATGGAAGGGGTATACGAAATCGTGGCGCCGGCCCCTAGACATCATGCCTCTCGTTTTGTAAAGGAATATGCAATAGGGACGAGGTTGAAATTGATGCAAGCGTAGACGTTACTTACACACGAAAAACAATATGGGCATAGGTGTTTTACCACTACTGGTAACTTATCGCCTGTCTCCCGTCACAGATTTGAATGCTGTTTGCCGACGTACAAATTCCATGACTCTCACCCTGCTCCGAAAAAGCCTGCTAAAGATCATCATGTCAAACCTGTCGCCTCACCTCAGAGGGTACCAGTCCCCAAACTGGCCTCTCCACCGGAGCCAACAGAAGGACCGGCGGCGCAGGACCTGCAACCACCTTCACCTTATGCAGGTGGATACCAAAATCCGGATCCAGCAGCAGCGATGATGGCACCCCCTGCGGGTAAAGTATAACCAAGAAAGCCCCTGGTATAATTTTGTATTTTTACCTCCCACAAGCAACCATAGAGAAGGTCCCAAAATAGTGCTTTCTTTTCACCCCCGCAAAATGTTTTTCGTACATTTTCGATTCTTTTTTATCGAGATATCTCGAAACACGAATTACGTTAACTTTTCAAAGTATCTTTCGTACAGATGCTTACAGACTGGAGTCCATATTAGATCATTTTTAGAAACCCAGGGGCAAACAATCGGAAGAAAAGAGGTATACCTTTCGGGCCAGAAGTTCCAGGAAAATCTGGATGGCTTTTTATATTGAGTCAGAATTATAGATTTTTTTGACATCAAAGAATTGAAATGCGACTCACCTTTCTTACTCTTGTTCGATTTCTAATCCTTACCTTAAATTAAGCCAATCCTCTGGATATGTCGAAAACTTGCAGGGACACTCTAAATCAAGAGACATGTTATGTAGATCTAACTTGAAAGCTCTGCATGATACCGTTTACTTTTCAGTATTTTATAAATAACACTATTTTGCGATATCTTTTCTTTAACGGCGATTGTTGGCATGCACATTCTTCAGTCGTGACAGGACTTCTCCTAGACTCATTGCATCACCTAATTAACTAACTGTAAACGATCTCCTCCTTCAGAGCCGACATGTCCAGGTGCCTGCCCAACGTCGTGTGCCCCATCTTGTGATTTCTCCTGTTGTTCCTCTTACATGACACCACAACCCCAAACAGTTGCCCCAGTGCCTCCTCAGCAAGGCTTCCCTTATGGAGCAGTGCCACCAAATCCTATGGTGAGCAATACTAATTATGTGGTAAGTAATACAAATCCTATAGTAAGTAATATTATTTCTATGGTGATCAACACAAAGCCTATGGTGAGTACTACTAATTCCATGTCAAGTAATACTAATCCCATGGTGATCAACACTAAGCCTATGGTGAGTAATACTAATCCCATGGCAAGTAATACTAATCCTATGGAAAGTAATACTAATCACATGGTAAGTAATACTAATCATATGGTAAGTAATACAAATCCTATAGCAAGTAATATTAATCCTATAGTGATCAACACTAATCCTATGGTAAGTAATACTACTCCCATGGTGATCAATACCACTCCTATGTTAACAAATAATAATGATATGGTAAGTAATACTAATCCTATAGTAAGTAATGCGAGGTTCCATTTGCTGGGACAAAGAAACCAGCCCTAAATGTAAAATAAGTAACTCTTGACCAACGTTCAAGTGATGCTTGTATGAATTTGGTTTTATATTTCTACTTGCGTTGTAACTATTTATTCACTTCTGTGGGGGGTGTTTGTTAAATTTCTTTCAAACTTTAATATGTCCCTCTTTATTGTAGGCTCCAAATCCAGTCCCCCAGGCTCCACCCTCCCCAGGTCTCGCTCCTCTAAGCTGTCCAGGACAGTCGTGCCCAGACTCGTGCGCCCCATTGTGTTCGCCAAGCTGTTGCGCGGGAATTAGCCGCATGCTTCCAGCAAACTGGGACAAGAGAAACAACGTGCCTCGAGCGGCCTAAACCAAGACGCAGGAAACATATATCGCGGACAAGTGATTGACAGCTTTTTGGGGACGGTCCAACCTTGTATATAACATTGTCTTTTTTACTCAACAGTTCCTGAATAACGACCTTGTCCGATCCTGGGCTCAGGAAATGAGGTCTTTTACTAGGATCTTTTTCATTTACGGCGCGTCCTATCACGCGCATATCTTCCGTTCACAGCAACGCTTACTTAATTTGTTAACGCAAACATTCAAATGTTCTTTGTGTGAGAGTAACGCTCGAAAAGCTTCATAATATTAGCTAATATTCGGAGCAGGAATATGGCAAAAAGAAATTGCGACACTCCAACTAAACAGAAAAAAAGAAATAAATTTATATGCAGTTATGTATCGGTGTAAACGAGGTATACCTGAGACTTTTCCCATATTGACTGGCCACAGTTGATACCTTCATGTACATCTCCAGTAGGGAAATGAAGAATAGATTGATTAGATACGTGGTAATATCAAAGTGCCTACGTCAGTGAGGTTTAGAAACAATGTCCTCTTTGGACTCTATTGACTAATTTAATGTCACTGTCATAAAACGCTCAATGGAGCTGTGTATGTGAATTCGACGTTACGAGTGCTATTACCAGTGGCGGATCCAGAGAAGAAGCCCGCGAGTCCGCCCCGCCCCTTGTTTTTAGACCAAACTGCTGAGTCCCGAAGGGCCGGAAAATGTTTTTTGAGACCAGCCCCCCCCATATCTCGGGGTCTGAATGACCCCCCCCCCCTTACGTGAAGGTCTGGATCTGCCACTGATTACGAGTATACTTGCACACTGATCTCTCACAAGTCACGTGCCTAAATACATGAGAAGACTGACAAAACATGAGGGAACGAATATTGCGGCGGCTGTTGATTTGGTTTTTCTTTGAGTTCTTAAGTTAGGTAGCGAAGGGCAGTTTTTCTCCGTATCTTTAAGAGGCTTTTTGTGGGCAGCGGAGTTAAGGCGGCCGGGGGGGTCAAGAGAACTCCTACCTGAGATTGTAACCCACGCTACGGACAGGAGACAATTAGTGTATGTACTACGCGAGATCGAGATTTAAGAATATGTCTAGAAGATTATACTATTTAATTTGTTTGTATATTCAGTACTTTTCTAAAAAACACTTTGCTATTGCAAAAATGGAAGTCACGTTGTAACTAACATTCTCAACGTTAGATGAGCCGTTTACATGAAATAAAGCTTAGGGTTTTTTCTGCTGGTGGTGAACGCAGTTAAGATGGTGAAAATGCATCATGTACCAAATCTTATTCTGTGTGAAACGTATCAAATAAACCACCAAGTGTAAATAGCTTATATGTCTAAAATTTATTTCAATTGCCACTGAAGCCCTAAAGCTTTTACGGGTTATGTTTATTTTTCTATTTTTTTTTTTCCTTGGCACTTAAGTCCGTGTTGAAATTTACGATTACACATCTTCCAGAACGGCAATATTTCAAAGGAGAAGCAGCTATATACTACTGCAAAGCTCTTTCTATGGGGACTTTGAAACTCAACAAAACGGACGGGTGGAATAAACAAGTGCACGACCCTCGTAATTTGTTTACTGCGCAGTCATTCTCGCGCAGCAGGCAGCCCATTAAGAAAGAATATCCGCTTACTAACTCCTAAGCATTCTTTTCTGAAGGAAGTAAATGTTGCTAACCATTTTAAGAGCTTTCTGCTGTTTGTGAAATTGGAAAAATATGATCGCGGTGGCAAAACGTGCTAGCAGAATGCTTACGGTTCTAGTGCGATTAGTATTCTTGTCGTAATTTTCTGGGCGTGTTCTCTTCGGGTGTTTTGTGTAGGCAATAATACGTTCTAGCGGGTTAACTTTGATTTAGCAGCAGTCAATAATCACCACGCTTTTGGTGGCTCAATTTTCTGCTTTATTCGTTTTACCAGGTGACTAGACTGATAAACAGGTCCGTATTAACCTCGCCTGACAATAAGTGTCGTGTATTTAATAATTCAATGGTATATCTTTATTTCCTTCTTTTACGAATCTTTTCATCAAAACGTACCGGCAAAATACTAGTCAGAACAAACTAAAAAACACGTTGCTGAGAGGTATGTTTTCTTATTATTAGTAGTTTTGCCATTTTTTAAAACTGTCTCAATTTTTCCTGTTTCGTGTTTGTTTAAATTTCCCATAATTATTTACTTTCCAAAAATATCAACACACGAACTATTTATTGAGACAAGGCTCTGTTTCCATGATTTCCGTTGGAAAATGGGTCGACAGTTTTTCCTTTTTGTAACTGTTTAACTACTGCATGTCTGGGTTGTTTTGGTTGTAAAACCATAACATATAAACAAGCAGGCAAGAATCAAGGAGGCAACTAAAATTTTAAAAGGTCAAAATTTTGTTGTCAATGTATGTATGAAGTGCACATGTGAGAGATAAACTAGTTACTTAATCCATTTTGGGTTTTACTGTAGAATTATTGCTAGTTCTTTATTGTGCTAACCAACTGGACCGTTTTTTTTGTAATGGGGGAACGAAGTGATAACTAAACAAAATGAGGCAGGTACATTTGTCGGCTAATGAATGTCAATGAAAAACTTCCACAAACAAACAACCTGTATCCAGTGTATATTGCGATCTTTTTGACAAAAGTTACATTTAACGTCTGTACTTATAAGTACTTTGAGTTTAACTGCATATTTGCATGTTATGGTTTCTAAATACTTCAGAGCATGCGAGTTAGCCATAGAAATCGACTCAAAGAAAATCATGTTGACTGAAATTCAAAGTAGAGTGAGAGAACTAACATTCACTGGTCTGAAGTGTTGCATACATCAAGACGGCTGGTTTATTATCAAACGAGTTTTATTTCATCGGATGAGGAGCTCCAACTTGATCTCAACGAGGGGCGGGGTTGAGTTAAGCGGGGTATACTATAGCAGTATTTTGCTGGGGTCAACCTGCGTCCCATCCACGGGTATATATAGCTTGACCTGCTAAAAAACAAACAAACAAAAACAAAAGAAAACAAAAAAAACAACCTTACCTGAAGATCCGTCATTATGCCCTTTCCTCACTTGATTTCAGGGACTGGGCAAGGACGAACGGATTCTCCAAAGGAGATTGTCTTCAAACGCGAAAAATGTTGCAAATCGAGAGTATTTTCATTCATGTCATATAGTGGAGTACTCCACATGATATAAGGACAATGGGATTTATTTCTATACACTGACCCTGATTTTTTTCTTTTTTATTTATTCGCGTTCCTTGCTCTTTCAGGTAGTAAGCCTGTAAGCCCAGGTCATGTAAGCCTGCACAAAACGTCCCTTGCGATTTAACCCAGGCTTACATGAAGGAGTACCCGCTCTTTCCTTCTCCTCCTTTCATCCTCTTGCACTCTACGTCTTTTTTGTTTGTTTTGTTTTGTTTTTTTTTTTCATATTTGTTAAATTGTTTTGACATTTGTCCCCCAGGCTTTTGAAGAGAGGCTACTCAGGCATGTCAGGATGGGCAGTGTGTCTCTCAAGCATATTTTTGTTTTCAATCATTCTTCAAGGGGAAGGAAGCCCATTTCCGAAAGACAAATTTGGAGTGGAAAGGGGTAACAATAATGATTTTAATCGTTTTAAAAACCAACGCAATACAGAGACACGCTATTTCTTAATATATGTATACAACACCTGTTTTTCTATTTTTAGAATCCTGCTTTTGCCAAGGGTAAAAAAAAACATCATGATATAAAAATACCTTGTCGTCTTGACAAACATATGACAAGACGAAAATAAATGTAAAAAAAAGATGATGTTTGCATTGATTAGTACACGCCAGAATATATAAACTTCGAGAAACTATCCATTCAGCCCTAGTTTGGATGTATACATACACAATTCATGTAATCTCCCAGAAATACTACAACGGCATTCCATATCAGGAGATGATAATGTATGATCAATTTTGCAGATAAACACAGCTTAACGAAGAGACAGTATCCGTATTATCAACGAGCCCCAATGCTTCGTGCCTATGCCGACCCATATCAAAGGAGTAGAGTGTCTCGTAAGCGACCTCCTCGTGTAGGCAAGAAAGGTAATTCGCTGTTAACATAATTCGGATAGTCTGTTACATATCTTCACGTACAAGCTCACGTTTCATGATCTGTTCGATTTTTAAGGAAATTGCCGAACAATCTGCCAGCACAGATGTACTCCTGACTGTGATTTCCGTTGCTGCGTAGCACCATCTCAACCCATTCAGATTCCACATCCCCTGCCCCGCCCCGCTGTACCGGTGGAGTCCTGTGCGTCGTACTGTCCCAGTTCCTGTTTTCCTGAATGTCGTCCTAGCTGCTGTAAGCCACAACAAGTCTCCATTCCAACAATGTCATCAATGCCAGCACCATTTATGCCTCCTCCTCCTCCCCCTCCCCCTCCACCCTGTCCAACCAACTGCCCCTCGTCTTGCTACCCTCAGTGCTCTCCGTCATGTTGTAAAGCGTCGCCTGGGTTAGCGCCCCTTTTACCTCAGGGCCAGTGCCCTCATCCCGGATGTGCGAAAGCATGCTATCCAAAATGCGCACCTATATGCTGTTCTTCTACTATCGCCCCTCAAGTTCCTGCTTATCCGCTATTACCTCGATTCCCTTCTGTTCTTTCTCCTCCATCCCCACCTCCGATAGTTATCCCAGTTCCGCTTCCGGTTCCACAGTGTCCCGCTCCTTGCGCACCTTCATGTCTCCCAGCTTGCACCCCTCAGTGCTGCGCAGTCACCCAGCCACTATCACAACCACAGGCACTACCCCCTCCCATAATAATTCTGGAGCCCCTTCTCCCACTCCTGTTTTAACATGCCCTGCTGCCTGTCCAGCTACATGCGCCCCACAGTGCACCCCAACCTGTTGCTCTCCACCCACAAAAATAGCTCCACCTCGACCCCCGCCAGTACCCCCTCCTGCACCCTCATCATCTGCACCTCTCCCAATCGCTGCGCAGTCGTGTCCTGGCTCTTGCCCTGACACATGCGCACCAAGCTGCAACAAAGAGTGTTGCTGTGGACCGAAATATAACACTAATGACGTCAGAGGCCTATACCCATTAGATAACACTCCAGATTGCCCTTTAAATAACTAAAGGACTTATCAAAGCGTCAAAGACGATATTTCATGTGGAAATTATTATTATTATATTAATGTCATCAATATTGATACCACCAAAACGACATTCCCTCACTACAAAAACAGCACAGAGTACTAAATATAGTTTATGAGTCGATGAAAAATACGAAAGGGCGTTCAATCAGGAAGGCAAAATGCGAATTGTAATCAAAAGAAGGGAAAAACGTGTAAATCATTACAAGAATTGGGGCCTTTTTAATTTTTAGCTTCAATAAGCTTAAGAGTCCTTGACGCATTGGACTCGGAACTACGTTACTGTTTAAAAGTTTTTTTTAAGGTGGGGGTGGGGGTGCTTCAACAATATATGGCGCTAATTAATTGACCACAGCTGGTGTGGTAGACCATATCAACTGTTCTTTGCTCTAGTTTTTGTGGCAAGTTTATTTTGTATCCAGTCTATTAGTTTATTTGTGTATGTGTGATAAATAAGAAAATATACCAGTTTTTATATAGGACATAAAAATATGAATGACGATGCAAAAAATCCATTTTGCTGAAGAAAGATGTAAAACTTGAATTGATGGCTTGTAAATAAGTGGTAGTCTCATTAAATGGCAGTGTTTTTCGTCAAACACCACCGTAAACTCCCCTTAGAAGCCCAGGGCTTAGGACTAAAGAGTCAATAAACACGAAAATGGAAAGCGGAGATTGTTTCTGTATCCATGTTGTCCAAAGTATTAAGCTTAGAATAATTGCCATGTCCACAAATTTGACTATAGAGAAAGAGAAAGACAGAGAAAAAGAGAAAGTAGGCGACAGGCCAGCGAAGCTCAACAAGGAAAATAGCGACAGAGAGCTAGAGAGAGATAAAAAACAAAGGAGACATTTTTTGTTGGAAGAAAAACATGAAAATTTTGTACGTAGTGGCGGTGAGAAAATGAGAAATGCTAGCGGCCATCAAGACGGAACTGAGCGGCAGTGAAAAAAAAAAAGTGAACAAGAACATGTACATTTCCTCCATATAAGGGTGATGTTACACGGAACGATCCGCAACGACGATTTTTAGTGCAACACAACGTTGCAATGTTGGAACATTGTTGTAATTATTCGAAACAATATCACAACAGTGTTGCAACGCTGTGTTGCGCTAAAAATCGTCGTTGCGAATCGTCTCGTGTAACGTCACCTTACGTGTAACTAGGACGTTTTTGGAAGTTTCACGTTGTAGTCGTGCAAAACAACGGCAATTCAAAGAAATGTACAAAAAAAGTGTGCTGCACGTGCAAAGTTGCTTTTTGCTAATAGACCTATTGTTGTTTTTTCACCGTTCCCGTTGCCTTCGCCGCCTAGCATTAAGGTGATGTTACACGAGACGATTCGCAAGGACGATTTTAGCGCAACACAGCGACGCAATGTTGGAACAATGTTGAAAGCATTCGAAGCAATGTCGCAACAATGTTGTGACGCTGTATTGCGCTAAAAAAAATCGTCGTTGCGAGTCGCCCCTTGTAACATCACCTTTACACGATTTTATATTTTGTTTGAGCAAATTATAAATATTATCGAGAGCGATCGCTTTTATCAGAAGGTCTTGTAAACGTACGGGGGTGGGGGATTATAACCGGACTGAAAAAAAAACCGTTTAAAAACAAGTTACATAACCGTGCTGATCAAAACACTTTCTGAATTTAATCGCTTTTCAAGCTTCAACACTTCGTAAAAGAATCAAGTTTATTTTAACAAAAGCTAGTGGGGGACTTATAACTGGCGATCGAGGCTTAATAGCTCACTTCGGAAAAAAGTGATAGCCTGGGACCCAAACTAGGCGCGCGCGCATTTATGGGATTATTTGGGGGACGTGTAAACAAACATGGCGGAAAGCGAAGTGGAATGTTCCAGCGAGGTTAAAACAGCTCAAAATAGCAAAACGGAAGGTGGGATTGAATGAAAAAAAAAAACATGAAAATGTGAAGCTGAAGGAAAATGTGCCTAGGGCGATTTTACTTCGAGAAAAACCAGAAGAATGCAAATTAGCAGTAGCGTTCGATAGCAAACATACATATTCTCGATCGCTGGAGACGTCTTGCCTTTGGTATTCTACAAAATGCAAGACCAGGGGAGTTCCTGAAGTTATCTGTGCACAAAGGCACAAAACAAATTACATGTCCCCTCATAATTCAAGGTGGCTGCTCGACTTGTCCCCCCCCAAATAATCCCATAAATGCACGCGCGCTTAGTTTGGGTACCAGGCGATCACTCTTTTCCGAAGAGAGCCGTTGTAACCGGATGTATATTTGGTGTACAGGTAGATACATACATACATATTTTATTGGTTCGTCCCCACAGGGCTTTTCAGAGTCAATGTTACAATAATAATTTTAAAAAACACAGTTACACACAGAAAGCTAACAACACGAAAAATAATTAAGTAACTAAAGGAGACGTCCAGAAGTAGTCGTCTAAGTTGCCGCTTAAAATTAACTAGTCACTGATTCGCCTAGCTTGAGCGGCAGGCTGTAACTCATTCCATAATGACGTCGCTCTATATTCAAAGGACCTTTGGCCACCAGCAGAACGAAAAAGTGGTGTGCTTAACATAGGCTGCTCGAGACTTCTTCCTTTGTTCAAGAAAGCAAGGATTTCCCTCTAACTTCTCTCGATTTATAAAAAGCAAGAAAAAGAAATTGCCCAATATCTAGTCGTCTTGACCGAAAAGACTAGGTCAATAACGTCATACTGTAAGTATTAAACTTGGAGAAGAAAACCGTTTTCATGGGCGGTATGGTTGATGCGCGTCTCGAAACGTGTCTTTTCCCTCAAAACGTTTTGTTGTGGAATTCACTTGTATGCCTTTCTTGATCGACAATCTCAATTCTGGTCGAGAATGGGTGTAGACATAATTGGCGAAGTATTTGTGACAGAAATATCTACTCGACAAATGAAGAAAAAAAAAAGAGAAATAGAAACAAACGCAGAAACAAAACCAGTGTGTGGAACTTAAATTTTTATTCATGACATCATCGACTTTAATTGAATACTTTTCCCGAAAATTAATGAGATTCCCCTCAAAAAAGTGGACTAAAAATATCTCAAATACTACTTGAAAAATCCTTAATTTTTTTTGCTGCCCAGACGGACTGCACAATTAATTAAGAATAAATTGAAGAGATTGGAACATCTTTTCATTCGGAAGGTAGAAGGATACTCTGTTTGCGCAAGTATACATTTTATGTTTAGAGAATTATTACTTTTATCCAAAAGTCAAAATGTTCGATTATTATGTATATAATTGTCCTAGTTAGAAACCAGAAGGGAACTGGAGCCGAAATCAATGTGACCAGCAATTGTTTCTGGGATAGTTACTGGGGACGCGCCGGTCAGCTATAGGTCAATTTTTCCCCAGAGGTCTTTGCAAAAGTTAACTCGGCCCAGTTCCCTTCTCGTTTTTTAAGTGGCAAACGCAGACTGGCTCAAAGTTTCTTGCAGCACCAAGAAAATTAAAGGCTCACAACTCAGCAAATTCTTGAACAGTTACTGTGCCAAAACAAATTATACAAATTCTTGCTCTTTCTTGATCATAATCTCACCTTAATACCCTCCTTGATTGCCAAATACTTTCTTAATCATGTCATTTGAAGGGTTGATATTTCCTAGCACATGTGGGCTGTTTGATTCCAGTTTCCGCCAGATAATCTCTGCTGCTAGCGTTTGAGCCTTGAGTGAAGGATGAAATCCAGCAAATGGCTCAAATAATTCAAAAGCGTCCCCACCTTTAGATTTCCATTCCTAAAAGAGAGTAACAAAACATATTTTGTGAAACGACTAACATACTAACAACGCCAGCGAATATAACAGAATTAAATTATGTCTGGTCACAAATACAGCGCCATTGTTTTACACTCATCTCTTTTCTCTTTCAAATACAGAAACCACTCACCTTGCAAACAGTTCTTTACTACGGAGATTCCGCTAATATAACGAACGGTAGCAAAGATACAAAAATGTTCTGCTTTATCCTTACTTTTGCTAGAGAAAATAGTTTTTTGTCACAGAGAGGAGGGGGGCGGGGGGGAATGCCTTAACACGTCTCACGTCGTCTTTGGGATGTTTTTCACGTTCCCCCGCTGCATTCTCGTTCCCAGAGCTTCGGCCCTTTTGCTCAGCGTCGTGGATCAGAATGACGTTTCCCTCAACCCACTGCGTTCAGACTCGTACCCAGTCGCTATTTAAGTGTGTTTTGGGATGAGAGAAGATTGGGGATTAGGTTGAGGCGTGCGCGGGGTCTCATCCCAAAAAACACTTAAATAGCGACTGGGTACGAGTCTGCACTGCGTTGAAATATTTAAAAAAAAACGTGACAGCAACTTTAAAACATTTCAATGTTTACCTCGATTAATTCCTCCAAGGATAAATTCAGGAAATTGACATCAAAATTTTCAAACTTAGTTGTCTTGGCCACAAACTTCAATACTTCAGACAACCGAGCAGCTCGTTCACTAGTTTCATTTCTGATGGTCGCATTAGAATTCAGCCAACCAAAGCAGGGTGAAATCTGCAGACAGTTCAAAAAGTTGAAAAGATTCTCGTATGTTAAGTCTCCTCTCAACTCACCAACTGGATGGATGTGCTTATGAACAGTTTCATAAATGAATCGACCGTCAGCAAGACTTAAGAGAATGACATGACTCCCATTCGGCAGGCGTTTGTCCAAACTTCGCAGTGTTTCCATCACGTTTTTGTGCATTTCCTCAGGGGTTGTCATATTGTGTAAGTCCGCCTCACACGTGCACACGTCATTTCCGAAAAGTGCATAGAACACCAACGCAGGTTGGTCACGCTTCTGGTCACGTGCCATGCTCTTGATCAGCGAGTTTGCGTCAAAGGACGCTGCCCCATTTCTTGCCAGATTTTGGTAATCTCGATGGTTGCAGTGGTTTCTTTCCCACAACTTCAGGTAAATGGAGTCTATATCATGACCTTTTCTTCTGGCCACCTGCAGAAGTGAACCCCGGGCAGAAGCATTTTTTTGGCTTTGAATGGCAAATTCCCGGGGGTGGGGACTCTTGAGCTGTCAAATCCCCCGGGATGGGGACGAAAAAAGAGGGCAAATGCCCCGTCCTCCGACAACTCTGTAAAATTTTTCATTGATCGCATAGTCGAGGAGTGCCATTTTAAGCCTTTTTTTAATTTTAATGTGCGATTTTTTGTTTCAATTAACGTCTTCCTTTGTAATAGTGCTACTCTAATGAAGACTTCACGCCGTGACGACACCAGTTTATGGTTTTTGCTATAAGGGTCTTATAAAGTCATTGACATTAAAATTAATAATGTGCTGTTATGAATAGTTTTATATATATGCAAGGATGGTCTTCAAATAATAACAACAACAGAAATTTGATTAAAAAAATACCAAACAACGTTGATTCACGTCGATAGCTTCCGATTTGGCTACTCTAACTTTTGAAAGAGGTCATTTACCCCTATGTAATTCTGGCTTGATAAGCAATGAAGAAATGTATGCATAAAATGGAGAACATGCCTTTACAAACCTCTTCAATTTTTTCCCGTCCTTGACAGATGAACCAATCTGCTTGTTTTTTTAGTAAAATCCTCTAAGTACTTATATTCTGATAGGAAACCGCGTGAGTGTCAAAAGCTCGGGGTTGACCCCGGGGTTGGCAAATGCCCGGTCTCCGGGCAGTAAAAAATTTGCAAATGCCCCACCACTGGGACTAACAAGGCGGGCAAATGCCCCTCAGTAGCGCGGGGGTGGGGGGCTGGGCGCAGCTGGAATTGACTGATGCATTACTGGGCAAAGACTATTAACACCAAACGGTGGTTCAGCGTCAAAATCCAGTTTAATTGATTTAAGGAGAAAATTTTTCAAACGCATCATATGATTGTGATGGATGTGATGATTGTGATGGTTCGACAAAATTTAGTTGAGAAAAAACTAGCAAACAGAAAGTACTTAGAAACAACCTAAAGAAAAAACAAAAACTTTGAGGTATTTCCTCCTTTTGGGAAGTTGAAAACACACTCCTGTTGAAGTTGGTAATGAGGAATTGCGAAATACAGATAGAGGGCTAAAATTACAATCTTCAGAATTATTTAAACTGAGTAACGCATCTCCTAAAAGTGTCACGGGCGTTTGAATCTAACAAAGACGCCGTTGGGGGGAGGTTGGGGTGGCTCTTCCTTATTTGGCCTAGACGGGTATGTGCCACTCAACAGGGTATGGGTCAGGGTTTTGACTCTTTAGCCTGTTCCGGGTATTCAGACGGTGGGGATGGGGAAAAAAGTGAGCCCGCTCTCTATTTTCGCGCCGCACTCTACTATCTGAACACCCCGGAATTCACTACTTAGCGTCCTGAAAAGGGTGTCTTTTTAGAACGGAAACCTTTACAAGAATGTAAAGGTAGGACCTGTATGGTCTACATGTCTGGTACAATGCTTTTTCAAAAAAATCTAATTCCGTAATGTTAGTTTAAAAAATACATAATTCTGAGTGCGAAACTAAATGAATCGGGGTCATGAAATTAGGTCTCTTGTCTTAAACAAGGTAAGAGGTTTGGAGACCTCGGCGACACACCTTCCACCAAACTTCGCTTGAGTGACCTTCCCAGTGGGGATAGGAACAAACGGGACTCCCACGTCCCATGAAGGTTAGAAGTATCACAGGAAAGGGTAAGGAAAACTGTCTGTTTGGTCCTTCGAGTCCCGAAAGGGATGAAAGACGAATTTAATGCTGTGAAGACAGTGAATTTTAAGTAGTTAAAGCCAGAATGCAAATTTCCAAACTAGTTAATATAAAAGGGATATCTTTTGTCATTTGAAGGTATACGAAAGGGGTATCTTTGCAGTCAAAAATGTTACATAAGAGGGTAAGGGGTCGGACCTCGTGGGGCGCCTCTCAGTATAAAACTTTGTTGACTACCCTCCCCCCCGGGATGTTTACTCATCAGACGGGGGTTTAGCAACCGTTTCGAGTAACATGTCAGTGGCATGTATTAATTTATGGCTCTTGTTTAGCTAGCTTACCTGGACTCTCGTAAGTATCCAGAAAAACCAGACAGCTGAGGCCAGTCGAACTCATTTCCGAGGATAAAGGAAAAATTTTGAAAAACCTTACCAGAAATCAGCCGTGCTGTTACCCACTCTGGTGGAATATGGAAATTCGCTGCAGCTGAATCACCAATAACAATCAAACCAAGATACCCAGTGTCTGAAAAATAATTGTGAAAACTAACCTTCAATTTTTTTCTCACTGAAAAAAGCCTGGTATCAAGGAGCCTAAAGACAGCATTTTAGGGATGTTGCATGGCTGATGAGTATCTTTTTACAAGTCGATTTTCTGTGCAAGAAGGATTTACTCAAAAAGAATAATAAAAGAAAACAAAACTCCGACCCAGAGTTCATCAATTCTTAAAAGGACAGCCTACTTTGCGCCTACAGGCTCAGGTAGGCTAAGAATGAACGTTTCCAACCAATCGGACCTAGGGCGCTCCGTTTGAGACATTCTCACCACGCCTAACCATGTTTCGCCCGTTTTTTTTTTTGCTCATCATCACATCGTGCTTATCAATTAGTTCTCACATGGGATTTTTGCAGTTTTGAGGCAAGTAAGCCTTTCCTCTTTCTATAGCTTTCATCCAGTGGCTTTGCCAACTGCGTTGTAGTTAGCAATGATACTTTTATTTGCCTCTTGCACTATTTTCTATTCGATGATTCCCAGCTTTTTACAGTTTTAGCTTTGCAGTTGCCTTTGGTTCCAGTGCAGGACAGGAGTAAACAAAGCACCCTATACTGATCACAAGATATTTTGCGAGTATTTCCGTATCGTTTCAGTTTTGTTACTGTGGCACTTTCACATTTTAAAATACCGTGGCATGAAATTTTTGCGGGTTCTTATTTTAGCGATTTTGCGATTTTTGCGACGATCCGCAAAAATAATCCCCACCCCCTCCCCCAAGAAAAAAAACAAACAAACAAACAAAAACAAAATTACTGCAAGCATTTTCCCGCACAAATTTTCTCCAGGATAAATATTCCTTAACTTAATTTCACTTCCTATCGATCATCAGAACAATCAGTCACCGCAATGGTTATCCGGCAGTTGTAGGGTACCACAATATTATAAATGATTTGTCAAGGAAGCAAAAATTAGTTCCCGCAAAACATAAAAAATCCCCAATTCACAAAAAAAGCCTTCTGCAAAAATTTCGTGTCACGCGGTAAGTGATTTATACTTACATTAGGCTATTTTGCATAGCTTGGAGTTCTCAACTGAGAAAAGAATTTTTAATTCAGTTAGATTATAAACTTGAACGGAAAGTGTTACAGCGCTAACCTTTGCAAAACAAATCTTCATATGGTTTGCCAGTAATAAAATCTATGCCATGAATACCATTGCAGTTGGAGTCAAAAAAGACGTCGCCATCCTCTGGTTTGGCCCCAGGATGATGAAGAGCATCGAGATCATTACAGTCACGACCCCTCCATGATATTCCTCGCCATGACTCGACTGAGGGAAAGTAAGTGTCTTTATCCCAATCAAAAAGCGACAAATCTTGATTTTCAAAGACATTCTGGAGCTTATCGCAAAGAGGCTTGACACCTGGAAGGGTACAGGGATTGAACGCTGCTTGATCCTTTGATTGATAGTCACTTGCACTTTTTTCGAACGTGAAAGGTGAAGATACTACTTCCCTTGATCGCAATAATTCCTCGTGGAAGTCATTTCTAGGAAACGCGTGGCAATATGGCTGCCCCTTCTCTCGATAACAAAGCTGAATTGCATGGCAAATCACATCCGCGGATGTCTTCTTGTTTATGAGGTCGATTACTTGCGGAATGAAGAATTCTCCCAATGCGATACAGGGCTCTCTGTAAAGACCTGGATAAGCATTACACAATCGATAGTATGATTTTGCGAACGTTTCATTGTGAATAACACTCATCTGTTCTAACAGAGCAACAACTACAGTGCAGGCAAGACACCCAAATCCTCCATTAACTCCTTTTGGCGGCTCACGTCCATAAGATCTTGCGAATGAAGGACTAGTGGCCGCAGATCTTGAAGCAGAGGAAAGAAAAGTGAAAACCAACGCGAAAACAATAAAATGTTGGTAACAGGTCATTGTGATATAAACGCAAAGCACGGTAAGAAAAGATGACCTTCTTCCACTAGAAACAGAATAGAATTTTCTGAAACTATGTTCAAAGATCATGTGTTGCCCCTGACTAACTTGTGCCATTCATGTGAGCAATGAGTACGAATAGTCCGAAGATTTAAAAAATGAACAAAGAGGGATCGGGTCTGATCGATACTTATTGCTGTGTCGACTAAATTTCAAGCTTTTTGATGGTTGACATAAATTTGTATTTAGACACAGATACAGGACGATTTTTGAAAAATTGTTAGCCTTCTAACTATTTTTGTTGGTTGTAACCGTTTACTGTAAAGCCACGTGCAAACGGACGCAACATGACATTTTTGGCCAACAACTTCCAACATTGTTGGATGTTACATGTTGCGGCGGTTTGCTCAGCCTGTTGCATGTTGTTGCGTGTTGTTGGGAGTTGCTGCGCAAAGTTTGAAACCCGTCAATTTTTTAAGCCAACAACTCCCAATTCTTTTGCTCCGTGATCGCCGAAGCGTAGCGCAACAAGACCAACAATGTTGGATCCGTTTGGAGTGTGCATAAAATGCGAGCCAGCGAGTCATGCGAGCCATGATATGCAGTCGATTGAAGAATCATTGAAAAAAAAACCCCATAAAAATCGAAAACATTAACTGAACGCTAACCGTTGTAAATAAGCGTTTAACCCTAAACAGCGCTTAACCCTAGCCCTAAAATAAGTGCTTAACCCTAATCCGTAATATGAAAGCTTAACCCTAATCAGTACAATGAATGCATAACCTTAATCAGTATAATGAGTGCTCAACTCCTCATCTGTAAATTTGCAGTTTTTACTTGTGTTTCCTTTTTTTTACCGATGCCTCGCGTTTCTCGCATGGCTCGCTGGCTCGTAGTTTGTCAAGATCCGTTTGTACAGCGCTTCCAACATTGTTAGGGCCACGCACGGGTATTACACATGGTTTCCAAAGTCTTATGGGCTATATCCTTTCCAAGAAGCGCTGCAGGTACGTCCCCACAACATTGCACGTAGCTCACTGGTAGCTTAACATACTGCCTAGGAGACATATTTGTTTGACTCGAATGTCATCACAATTATTCACTCACTACTCATTGACTATAGTACCATAGCTATCAACGACTCGTAAGAGGCAGCAGCAACAAAACAAACTGGTCAGCCGTGACACAGCCCTTTAACTGCAAAGATTCTCATCTGGCCAATTTTTGTCCAACTATCAAACAATAGAAAGCCTTAGATTCGAGGACGAGGACGACTACTTGAGGACGACTTAATAAATTTTAAGTTTTCTGGTCCATGGCTCTAAAAATAGACACCCCGGACTCCCTCGAAAGATTCATCGTACTTTTTTTCACCACAAAAGTTAGTACGCTCATTTCCGTTGAAGGGGGTAAAGACCCTCTCCCGATCGCTAAATAAAATTCCTAACATTTGATAACTTGTTTTCGCCACGACGACATTTTCGCTAAAACTCTAGTAGAATGACAATGGCTATTGTATTTTCCCGCGAAAATGACGTTGATTCGCGCACTACTTAGTATTAAGGAAATATCGTTGTCGTCGTCGTCGTCGTCGTCGTCGTCGTCTTAGAATCTAAATTAAAGCTCTAACTAACGAAGCGGACGGCAACGAGAACGTAAAAATAACAATAGGTTGTATTAGTAAAACAACAACTTTGCACGTGCATCACGCTTGTTTGTACATTTCTTTGCCCGTTTTTGCACGACTACGACGTGAACATGCGCGTCTTATGGAGTACGTTAAAAAACGACGAAATTTTCTCTCTCTTTCTGAACTTGGCTATGGTCCCTAGGAATTCAACTCCAGGAGGGTTCGCCTACATTTGACAAAGTAAGTCGGTAGGAATAATTGCGATAAAGACTGAAAGAACGCAAATTCACTTTTTAAGAGACGTTCTCGTTGCCGTCGCGCCGTTGGATCTTAAAGTCCCTTATGTCTTGTGAGGCGACAACGATGTCTCTCTTGACTGATGGTATAGAGTGTTTCACTCACGTGGCCAGCATCTATGCAAATTTATTAAAACAAAAGAAAGCGTTTGCATAAGAAAAGAGTTCAACTCCCAAAGGACTGGTTTGGGACACCAACATGGCCGCCGTGACGTCATATGAAAACACTCTATAATATTATCATTTATGACGAACTTCCAAGAAAAAAGAAACTGGCTTGAATTCTCGACAAGAGAGAAATCTCTGTTGAACCCTTTAAATTAAATAAATGCCCCGGGCGTCTTTTAGATCATCTACGGTATCATATTTTTTCCTGTTTGTTCAGATGCCATCTACCCTTGGTACCAGAGGTTTTTTCTCGCGGCTTCGCCGCTCGTGTCTTCGGCCTTCGGCCGACGAAACGAAGCTCCCCAACGTACCCGAGAAAAAACCTCTGGTACCCAGGTTAGATGCCACTTTCTTCATCGGAAAGTGTACCTTCATATTTTTGGCGTCACTTACTAATCTTGCAAATTAATATACAAAAAGAATTAACAAATCAATCATTTACAATAATATATGCGAAACATGGCTTTATTTTTTTTTTTCCAGAATTTATTGTATTTAAAAATAATTATAGTTACATGGGATAAAAATGACTGTTTTTTTACACTCTAGTCGATAACTATTAGACTTCTAAGGTGTTTGTATCAATTCATAGTAAATCCGGCATTTCTGGATAAAAAAAAGTGACATTCAGATGAACTTTATACTTTGTTAAACCAAAAGCAACACTTGGAGACAGGAGAATATCGACGCTGAAATTTGCGAAATTTTTAGAATATTTTACAGGGTTTGTACGCTTCTTCCGACGTAAAATTCAAGAACTTTTCAAGGTCGACTGTCCACATCTTTAAATTTCAAGGACCTAATTTATTACCAAGTTTCCTGCAAACAAACTATACAAATATTCCGATAAAAATGGTCTAGGGCAATTATTTTCATGAAAATTCGTTTGTGAGGAACTTCTCAAAGAATTCCTTCAATTAGGGAGCTTGTAATACGTAACGAGAACGGCAAAAAAGCAATAGGCTTAGATTGGCAAAACAACAACTCTGCACGAGCATCACCCTTTTTTGTACATTTCTTTACCGTCATTGCACGACTACGACGTGAAAATACCTAAATTCTCGTTTTGTGGAGGACGAAAACACAAGACAACGACTTTCTCTTTCTTTTCCTGAACTTCGATATAGTCTTTTAGAATTCAACTCCAGAAAAAAATAAATAAAAAAACGCCAATATTTGACGAATTGAACGAGATGGGATAAGCGCCATAAACTTTGAAGCAGCGCGAATTTACTTTTTAAGTGACGTTTTTGTAGCTGCCGCCGTCGTCGTTGCTAGGTATCCGGTCACCTCGCCACCAAGAATAGAACTTAGCTTAGCATTGTTTATCTTGTGATATTGCAATTTCTACTGATTTTTTCATTTTCTCCAAGAAGCCTTTTTCCTATTATACAGAAACTTTAATATTCTTTTGTCGTTGCTTTTAAGCTTAAAAGCTCCCTAATATTTATTGATATTTTTATTGATTTTTATTATGTAGAAACTTTAATATTCTTTCGTCGTTGCGTTCAGCTCCCTAATACATGTAATACAGTGACGAGGTATCCGGTGAGTCACCTCGCCACCAAGGAAATCGCTACCAAGAATAGAACTTAGCTTAGCAATGTTTATCTTGTGATGTTGCAATTTTTATTGATTTTTTCATTTTCTCCAAGGAGCCTTTTTCCTATTTTATAGAAACTTTAATATTCTTTTGCTGCGAAACGTGCCGCGATTTACTATGTAACTACAGCAAAAATGTTTTTTCACGGGAAGATATCACGTTTTTTTGCATCCTGAATGCTAACCTGATATTTCATTGGTGTTTTGCTGTGGTGATCTTTCGTTTGTTCCATTCAATTAAATTAAATATAACATAAAATGTTACACAATTTCCTACATCTTTTTATTGTTTTTTTTTTGCTCAGTGTTGCCTTACTTGTGAAAGAGAATTCAAAATTTATCGGCCCCACCTTTTTACCTCTAAATTTGATGTGTGTATAAAACTATAAGCAAATACTATTAAAAATGTACACATGCAACAAATTTTATCTTAAAAGGAAATACATTAGTGACAAGAGAACGGCTCAACTTAGCATATCAATATGCAGGAAAATGCTGACACTGTCATGCCTTGCTTTCCTCCTTCCATTAATAACCTCCTTGATCACCGAAAACTGCCTCTATTAAAAAATTGTAGGGGTTGATCTTGCCAAGCACATGTGGTATTTTTGATTCCAGTGTATGCCACAATGCATCTGCTGCCAGTGCCTCTGCCTTCAGGTTTGGATGGAATCCATCAACTTGTTCAATCAACTCATAAACCTCACCACCTTTTGCTTTCCATTCCTAACAGAGATTAAAAATAAATATGTATTTACTGAGATAACTAAAGCAAGATTGTTTGTCAGGACTTCAAGGGAGAAAAAGTGTGTTACTTGTATGTATTTTTTGATTCTCAATTTCCTTTGTCTCCTGGTCCTAATTCATGAATAATTAGGGCTGCGAGCTGACAAAGGAAATTGAGAATTAACCCAGGTTAAAAAATTTTAACCTGAATTTAATTTTGACCTGTAACGCATACATTGTCATCAATGGATCATATGATGGTAAACTTGGTTTTTTTTTTTTTTTTTTTTTTACAAATTCATGTATCATGATTATTGGTCATATTGCACCTATGCATGTACAAATACTTGCAATCAATATAATCTGATAAACAAAGACCTTGTCTTCTTATTATATGGCAAAGGGCAAAGTAAAAAGACACCTTAAATTGGATTATAAGTATGAAATTTAAGAGTGAAGACAAGTTTTTACACCAAGTTTGGGGGTAAACAAGTATTTCATGTGATTTGTACATGGATGGTAGTAAGTGATCATAATCCTTATGAGCATGAGTTTGAAACAACATGAATAATAAATTTAAAACAAGGATAAAATTAAACTACAACATCACTGTAGTATACACTTTGAAGGCAGTGTTTTTAAAAAACTAACCTGAGATCAGGCCCAATTTTAGCAGTTCTCATACATTCTCTCTAACGGCTACCGCTAAAATTGGGCCTCTGTTTTCGTTTCGCCTTGCTCGCCGGAATGTTATTACAAAGCGAAACGAAAATTGAGCCTGATCTCAGGTCATTAAAAAACAAAAAGAAGTTTGTATATGTCTGTTTACCTTGATAACTTGTTCCAGTGGGCAATCAAAGAAAAAGACGTCAAAATTCTCAAATTTTTTTGTCTCAGCCACATTCTTTAATACTGCACTCAACTGAGCAGATCGTTCACTAGTTTCATTTCTAATGGTCTCATTAGAATTCATGAACCCAAAGCAGGGTGAGATCTGTAAACAGTTCATGAAGTTATAAAACTGTTCATAGGTCACGTCTCCCCGCAGTTTGCCAATGGGGTGAATACGATTATGGAGACTATCATAAAGAATACGACCATCGACAAGACCAATGATAATAACATGACTCCCATTTGGAAGGCGTTTGTCCAAACTTTGAAGTGTTTCCATCACATTATTATGCATCTCCTCAGGGGTTGTCATTTTATGAAGATCATGACCACCATGGCAGACGTCATTTCCAATAAGGGAGTAGAAAACCAGGGCGGGTTGGTCAAGCTTCTGGTCTCGTGCCATGCTCTTGATCAGCTTAGAGTTTGCCTCAAAGGAGTCTGCCCCATTCTTGCCAAGATTTTGGTAATCTCTATGGTTACAATGGTTTCTTTCCCACAACTTTAGATAAATAGAGTTTGCATGGCCTTTGTCCATTGGCCACCTGTAAAGTATAGCGGTATTCATGTATTGACCCATTCATACCTGAACTGCAGGGGGTTTACTTGCGGTAACAAACTTTTACATGGGGAGGCTCCTCTCTGAGGAAAAAGTACCCCTTTCGTAAAATAATACCTCCCTCAAATACTTACTTTACAATTTTTTATCCCTTTTACAGAGCAGCTGCTGTAAATACGCCGTCTTTAAAATATGAATACAGCACAAAAACAGTATGCTTTTTCAACTTTTTCAAAGCCATAAAACATGATACATCTGTCAAGCCTTTTGGGCATTTTTAAAGACCGAAATCATGATAGATTTTCCTACCCTTTCATATCCTTCAACTGGAGAAACCCTACCCTTCCATTTACCAAGGCTGAAAAAGGTACCCCTTTCATATGGAACCTGTATGAGCCATCATAGGGGGTACCACCACCCCTTCCATACCACTTCTGAAGACATCAACATTCTCAGTTCATTGACAGCTTTGACAACTGACTTGTACAGGGGTAAAAGATATTTTCATTAAAATAAAAACAAAACAAAGAAAGACAATGACAAAAGAGATCTTTCAAACCATACTCGAATTGTCATGATTCAGTATAAAAATTCCACTTAATTTCACTTTCTATTGCTAAATGTTTTTTTGTTTCTAGAAATTTGTGTATGGGGCTGAAAAGGTATATCTTTGGTGCTGAATTTTATAGATGTGCTAAGAAACCAGGCGGATGAGTTGACAGAAACTTAATTAGTTGCACATTATAAACTTGTTAAAGTCTTAATTCAGGCTTTGTCTTTCAACTTTGGACTAAAAATACTGTTCCTGAAAGTATACCTTGATCTCCTTAAGTAGCCAGAATAAAGAGACATCTGAGGCCAGTCAAATTCATTTTCTACTATGAAGGCCACATTTTTAAAGACTTTATCTGAAATCAATCGTGCAGTTAGCCACTCAGGTGGAATATGAAAGTGTGCTGCCGCTGAATCACCAAGAACAATCACACCAAGATATCCTGTATCTGAAAAGATATAAGAACTAGACAAGTAAACATTGGCAGTTCAAACCCAGACTTGAAGGCCAGCCTGTTGGCAGCCAGAGTATTATAAGGGTTATATTCAATAGGCCAAACAGTAATTATATAACAAAATCTCATGCAAAATGAAATGTAATTAATATCTGTAGTTTGCAAAATGAAAATCTGAAATTTGAGGTGAATGAACTCATCTTAAGACATTTTTGAGGGAAAAACACCTTAAGATTTGAGACAAAGCTTAGTCCGCTATCCTTTATTCAAAAACACTAACAATAATAATTTTTTCCGACAGGAAATTGGCTTTCAAGACTACAACACAGAGGTAATGAGCATCAAACAGTATTGCCCCCTCTCAAGCAGTACAATCCATCCATGCTCAACCTCTGTCCTCAAGAGAGCTATTTAAGATGTATAGAAAACTTGCACCTAAGAAAAGCAGACCAGTGGATTAGGCTGTGGAGGATTCTGATTTGTTTCCTGTGTACTGGTTTCCTGTGGTTTCTGTTTCTGACAGAATTTGAATTCTGAAGCAGTTTAGGATTTAAATGACCAGTTAAATGGCCCATTTGCTTTTAGTTTCATTAGTCTTCTCCAAAGTGTCCGGAAGCTCAATAACTTGCTATGTATGTACAGTAGCTGTTTTGTGTGTGAGTGTGACATTCCCTTCTATGTTTTGTCTTCCTGTGCTTAACAGCTTGTTTGCTGGATGTTGCATTCTCACCTTTTGCACATGTATACATAATATTTGCCCACTTTCATTTTCGTACTACGCTGCTCTCCTTGATTGGCTAATTTTATAGTTTCAGCCAAGGAGACAAAAGTGGGCAGCATTCAAAACCTACAAGAAATGTGGCAGGTAGGATTTTCCCTTACCGCTCCCTTCGTGTGTACCCCAGCCATAACAATCTTGCAGCTACGCAGGCTAGGGTTCACATGGGTACAAGAAGCAAAACAGAAAGTGACACAAATTCAATAACTGCTAAGATCAGGACTAGTCATGGGTTGTGCATATTCTGGTATTTCACCCAAGGAATATAGCAAGTACTTTATGGCTCAACATTTTCTGTTCAGAAATTAATAGATGCAATGAGGAAGTCAAATATTGCCACTGATTAGAGATTATCACCTCGCAAACTGCAGACTTTCATTACTACAGACCTTTTCTACAATAGGCCACAAAAAGTGGCCCTGTTTTCATGTAAGTAGCTATAAAACTACCAACCTTTGCAGAACATGTCCTCGAGTGACTTGCCAGTAATAGAATCTGTGCCATGAATACCATTACAGTTTGAGTCAGAAACTACATCGCCATCCTCTGGTTTCGCCCCAGGATGATGAAGAGCATTACTATCACCACAGTCTCGACCCCTCCAAGATGTTCCTCGCCATGACTCGACTGATGGACTATAAGTGTCATTATCCCAATCAAAAAGTGGCAAATCATTAGTGAAAACACGCTTAAACAGTTTACAAAGCTCTTGTACACCTGCGAGAGCACAGGGATCGAAAGCTGCCGGGCCTTTAGATTTACTAGCACTTCCCTGGAACAATTTCGCAGATACTCTTTCTCTTGAACGAACAATTTTCTCTTGGAAATCACCCCTTGGTGGGAAAGCATGGCAAAATGGCTGACCTACGTCCTCGTAACACAAATGGGTCCCATGGCAAATGACATCTGCGGTCACTTTATCGGTTAGGAGATCGATAACCAGTGGAATATAGAACTGGCCCAAAGCGATGCAAGCATTCCTATAGAAGATAGGGAGAATATTGCACAAACGGTCGTACGATTTTACGAAAGTCTCATTGTGAATAACGCTCAGCTGTTCTGTAAGTGCCACAACCGCCGTGCAAGCAAGACAATAAACTCCTCCGTTAACTCCTTTCGGAAAGGTTACTGGTCCTGCATGTGAAGGACTGGAAGATCTTGGAGCAGAAAAGAGGAAGAGGAAGATGACAAACGAAGAAACAGTAGCGAGCTGGCCGGCCATAGTAGGACGATTAACACCGTTCAATTACGACGCTTTTCCACTTTGTATGTCAACAGAACAGCAAGTCAGAATATAAGCACACCAGAAACAAGCTAATCGGTTTTCTTGTGAGATTCATGTGACCAAAAATGAAAGTCAATTTTTGGGAATCACTTTCCGGTGCGTGGAATGAGCATGAAACCTAGCGGCGTTTGACTTCTATCCCATAATCCTCTGCGGCAAATTCCCGCTGGGGAGGTAATGGAGAGGTGTGAGGTGGGTGCTGGCCAAGACTGGCAAAAAATATTTAGTCTTTCCGTGACAAATAATCCAAGTCGAGTCAAAGATCAGGATAATGGCCGCTTTAATTTACCACAAACGGGCCCGGAGAGACGTAACACACATTTTAAGTAAGGTAAGCTGTTTTTTATTGAAATCCTTTCATTTTCGTAGGTTACAGAAACCATAGGTTTTTTCCCATAGAAATCCCTATATTTCGAATGTGACGCAACCGATGCCGATGCTCATATTTCGAGCTTGGGCTACCTGTGATAATACAGCTGAGAAAACACAGGCACGAGTAACAACTGATCAACAAACTTGAAAATAAGAAATGCGGAAACTATTACACACACAAGTTTCCCTTTAGAAACCCTTCAATTATACAAAACAATAGAAACGGTTCTGTTCTGAATGTAATTAAAATTACATGTAAATGAGCTCACATCATCATGCTATAAAGTGCTAGATATTCTAAGAAAGATCAAGAATATGACACCACTAGAGGCTAAGAAGTCTCTTGTTCAAAGCCTCGTGCTATCCAAACTTAACTGTCACTTATCCACTTCCCGCATTTCTGCAGAAAAGAGTACAACGCGTTCAGAAGGCTGCTACTGGTTTTCTCTTGAATCGTTTCTGCTCAGAAAGGGACGTCCTTGAGCTTTGCTGGCTACCTACACTAGAAAATACGCAATTAAACGTTGTTAAGCTTGGACATCGAGCTCTTTTTAGTGAAGCTAAGCCCGAATACTTACAAATAAAACCTTAACTCAAATCGCCGTCCTAAAAAGCCTAGGATTCAGTGTTTTGAAATACATGGTCGTAACGTCCTGCTGACATGGCATTGAAGCGTCAGTAGCGTTTGCTTTCTAGGTTTCTAGGTTCGTCGTGGGCACATTATAATTTACTGGACTTGCTCCCGTAATGCACCGCGGGCTATGAAGCATGGAACCTTTATTGAAATAGCACAGGTACGCCCAAGCTCGAAGTATGAGCATCGGCATTCAAAATATAAGGATTTGTATGGGAAAAAAACCTATCGTTTCTGTAACCTACGAAAATGAAAGGATTTCGATAAAAAACAGCTTACTTTACTTAAAATGTGTGTTACGTCTCTCCTGTGTGGTCCACAGGCCGATTTATGGCCGTTTTATGGGCTTTTATGCAAACGGTTTTCTCTCTGTATATTAAAAAGTTTCCTTCATATAGAGAGAAAACCGTTTACATAAAAACCCATAAAACGGCCATAAATCGGCCTGTGGACCACACAGGAGAGACGTAACACACATTTTAAGTAAGGTAAACTGTTTTTTATTGAAATCCTTTCATTTTCGTAGGTTACAAAAACGAAAGGTTTTTTTTCCCAGACAAATCCTTATATTTTGAATGTTATTCAAAAATGCCCATGCTCGCCGCCGTGCTCATATTTCGAGCTTGGGCTACCTGTGGAAATGGATGTATATATAAAATACCTTGTCCAGACCGTTTGACCACCTCCAGAACCCGGTGCATGCAGTTGATTTCCAATTTTACGAACCTCGTGTGAGAAGTAAATATTGGTTAGAATTATCGAGTGATTAAAAAAAAGTGGGAGCAAAATTATCGTTTGATTGAGGAAAAATTAACTGTTTGCAAGTTAGTTTGTTGAATCTTCCGATATAAATCGATGAAATCGGTAAAAATCAAGATAAATCGATGAACGAAACGAGTGTGTCATCGATTTCTACAGATTGATTGATACAATCGATATCAATCAAATCAGGTTTGACCGATTTTTATCAATTGACTAATATACTCCGGGATCACGTTATCTGCAAAATTAAATTTATTGAAACCTATACCTTGAATGCATAAAACAAAGGTTTTTCGGACTATAACATTGTCAGGTCTTTCTGGAAACGAGCGAAGCTAGCTCCCGTCAGAAATTTACACAAGGAAAGTTTTGCTTTCTTTTTTGCTTCTAGATGGAGAGAGGTCTGTCTCACCTTGCTTTAAGCTTCAAATGGCATGCTTTGACAATATGGGCAAAGGGGTGTAACGGCCCCTTCAGGGTAAAAAAAAAGGAAGGGCTGGCGTTTAAAGACCCGCCTGGTTTAATAAGGTTCTAGGAAGCACCAAAGGATTCTTCTTTGATCTTTTGCTTTGGAAAGGACTGAAAAGTTGAGAAAAAGTAATCCGCTTCTACCCACAGGCGGCTCAGACTCTAGTCTCCATGCAGACGTCCTTTGTGGTTCGTTCGTCACGCATTCGGGAGAAATAAATGCGCGACGAACGAACCCCAAAGGACGTCTGCGGGGAGGCTACTCAGACTCTGTATGGGAATTCGTTGGGATTTGAATTTTATAGGGGAATGTATAAAAATAAACAAAATACGATCTAAATTACATGTTTTTTTATAATTCGCAATAAAAAAGACTTCGTGTTTATGTTGTGTGTTTCAATGTCTGTTCGCTTCTAGAGCTCTTCTAAATGAGTCATTTTTATTGCGAATTTGTTTTGAAAAAATGTAATTTATATCGTATTTTGTTTATTTTCAGACATTCTCCAATAAAATTCAAATTCCAACGAACCCCCATATAAAGTCTGGGTTGCCTTTGTTCTCGCCTGTGTTCTACCGAGCCCACCCTTTAATTAACAATTATTCCTCGAGTTGCTCATACGATTAGTTACGATCCCAAGCGATGGAGATTCTGAGTGAAAATTGGATCCTTTACCAATAAATGAGGCGCCTCCTTCCCTCCGTAATCCTCCACGATAGAAGTTTTACATCCGGCCCAACTTTAGCAGCTCTCTCATGCATACAATCTCTTCTAGGACTGTGGGTGGCCTAATTTTATCTACCAATCGAAACGAAAATAGATTGCCCGACCTCAGGTTATGATAGGGGAAACAATAACCCATGGGGTGGAAAATTAAAGGTATACTGTACTCCAGGGCAAGTAACGCCTACAGGCCCCAGTTTAGTGGATAATTAAATTAAAGACAATTAGGGACTGGTCAAAAAGTATAGAGGGAGGTGGGCCGGAGCAGAGAGGGGGTGGGTCATGAGGTTTTGAGCCTTGTGCAAGGGGTGGGTCGTGCAATCTTCAGCTACCCTTAGGGGGTGGGTCACCCTATTGTATTACATAGATAGGCACTAACTACTAACGAGACAGTTGACTACACTTGTTATATAAAACACAGCCAGCTGGAATTATCGCTAAAATACTCACAAACCTGTTGTGCGAGAAAGTACAAAAGGGTGACAGGCCGTACATCTATACGGGCGTGGAACCCGTAACCTTTTTTTTTTGGCTCTTACGAGCATGTGCTTTAATGATTTTCTTTTTTTGTAAGGAAATGATTGGTTGTTCTTTAAAAATTTATTGAGTTTACAGTTGGTTTTGTATAAGATTCCATTTTTTCATTCAAGCTTCCTTTATAGTAGACACTGAGGGCTGGTATTGTGTCACGAATGGCAATATTTCTTTTTCCTCGTTGTTGTTTTGTTTTAGGAGTTTAGACTCCCTTTTGTGAATTTTATTTCTGATAGTATGTTTTCTATCAAAGATTGTGGATAGCCTCCGTCCATCAAGTGTTATTTTTTAAATTTGAATTATTTTTCTCAAAGGTTGTTTCTGAGGAGTTTTTTCGTAGGATTCTCAAGGCTTCTGTTTTGACAAATCCTTTTTTAACATCTGGAGGGTGACACAAGGTGAAATGTGTGTGCAAGAAGGTTTGCCTTTGCTAAAAATGTGTCTTTGCATCAAGGATAGATTTTTCCTTGAATCTTGTGCCTTTGTATACAACCGTGTCTAAAAACGCAGGGTCACTGGTAGTGTCAAATGTTTCAGCCGTGAATTCAAAAGTTTGCTTGTTCAATGAAGGCTTCGATGTCTGGTTTACTCATGTCCCATAGGGCAAAGATATCGTGTACGTAGCATTTCCAAACTGTTGTTCTAAAGACAGTTTTGCTTAGAGTTGTTGTTTCAATGTATGTCATGAAAATATTGGCAAAGGAATCAAATCTGCTGTCTTTGTGCCCATTGCAGTTCCATGGTTTTGTAGGTAGTCCTTTCCATTGAAGTGGAAGAAATTTTCTTTGAGGATCAATTAATCTAAGCATTTCCAGCAAGTAATGTGTAGGAATGGGTTGTCTTTGTAGAAATTTTCATATGCTTTGTGACAGACAATTTCAATATACCCTCGTTTTGCTGTATACTTGTTTCAAGACTCCTAACGTCCATCGAAACAAGGAATGTTGGGTTTTTCACATTTGTCTTTTCAATGAAAGGTACGATTTCTGTGATTTTGATATTGGTTGTAGCAGTATATCAACAAATTTTGTGAAACACAGAACAAGGTTTTATTGGACATGATTAAGAGGAAACCAAACATCCATGTTTTAACTAGGGGGTGGGTCATGCAATTTCCAACCTTGCTTTAGGGGTGGGTCAGTCATTTTTGTGCCGAAGGGAGGGGGTGGGTCATGTGTTTTTTATCAACCACATTTCCAAATGCTCCGGCCCACCACCCCCCGCCCCCCTATACTTTTTGACCAGTCCCTTAGTGTTGTTTTCAACAGTCAGGCATTGGAGAGTGTTTCATACAACGAGAGAAGCTCTCCAGCTTTTGAAAAGTTGGGGCCTGGACTTGAGAGTAGGCGAGAATTCAAGCATCCGATATATCAGCTAGCGACAGAAGAGAAACGCACGTAAATACTTATTTGACTGACGCCACCAAACTACTTGACTATTGCAATTTTTTTCTGCAATGTATCGCTTCCATGTCAATCAATTTTGATTTGCATATTTTACCATATTTATAATTTTATGTCTATTTTAAAATACTCTTTAAAGGATTAAGCCAGTACATCGAAGTATACATGCTTATGCTCTCACGCAACTGAGAATTTTGGGGTTAAGAGGGTTTATCTTTCATGATGATCACAGAAAAACAAGGAAAGAGTTTAAGCAATTCGGACAAAGCACCAACATATATCTAGCCCACGCACACCTTTGGCGCGGAAATAAATCACATATTCGAGTCAAAAGATGGCACAACAAGTTATGAAATATTTATTTCAATCAGATTAAGACACTACTGTTGTTTAAACGATTCGCTTGTTATCAAATCGTACTGCATTACAGACTAGTAAAGTAGAGTAACGAACTTTTGGGACACGCTGCAAACCCGAAACTTTATCATCCTTTGCTTATCTTCATAAACTAGTATAGTTCGCCATTCTCACTTCGATTCTCATGGTTTCTGACCCCATCTGAGAATTTTCAAGAATAATGGAAGCGTTCCCGTGACACGAGAATCAAGCCAAGTTTCTTTGTCGCAGCTTCAACCAACAGGCAACGGAATCAATCACCCTTTTCTTTCCTGCGCAGAGACTTCTGGCAAGGAGGTTGGGGAAAGGGAAAACAAAGCGCGCGAGGAAGGATGGGAAGGATAGGTTCCCGTGTTGTCCCTCTTCCCATCGTCCCCCGCGCGCTAGCGTGGGTAAATGACGTATTGTATTGTATTGCAACTGAGCTGCGTTTAATTTAATATACATGTAAAATTCAACGATATATATTATTAAACCTTTGCTTGTAATAATTTAACAGTGGTTAAAATATTCAACTTCTTGGCACGTCTATCAAGGATTTCGACCACTCGTTCGAACCCTGCTAGCCGTAAGATTCAAACTCCGTTTACGTCTAGGCGGGAGATCGACTTGATGAGTGATCATTATACTCATTTATCCATGACTTTTTTAAAATTGGACCCGCATTGAGAACACATGAGGGTGACCATCTTAGTGAAAACCGTGCGTCTTCAAGACCCAGTGGAAGTTGTACTCCGACTGGCGATATACATGTGTACTGCGTTAGCCAAAAGCTCCACATCAGATGTTCATAAATAGCCTAATTTAGCAACAGAACGGGAATGTCAGTTGACGACGGTGCGCGCAAATCAAACAACTGGCTTGACCAATCGCAGAGCGGCAAATTATAGCGGAAGGCGCAGCTGTAGCCATTGGCTTGCTTTGCTGTGTTCCCAAAGCCCTTTGTCACCAACTCACAATCAGTATTTGCTAACTCAAAGCTCTGTGATACCGAACAAGTTCGTTTTAGAAGCCTCCCACGTGACATTCTGCAGGCTAAACTGACTGTTCCTGCTGCTCAAGCTGGACTGGCTTCCGGTTCTGTTATTGCGCATACTCCGTCGACTGGAATTCTATGAAGAAAAAGAAGGAGTTAGTAAGGAAAATTAACCACAAAGAATAGAACTACGACAATTAATTACCACCCAAAACCTTTGACAAGCTCCTGAGAAAGCGCGAGAAAATTTCTTCTCTCGCCCTTAAACTGCACTTATGTCTCGAAGCAACTTTGAGCACCTTTCCCCATCCTTGCTTTGTAGAAATTCTATAGGTCGAAACGAGTAGCTTGTTTTCTTTGATGTCTTGTTTGGTCGTTTTTTACACTAACATGCAGCAGGTAACAAACTAAGTACACAGTGAATGATTAAACTGTCCACAGTTACATTCACAAGTAAGGACTGCACATGACTTGCGGCGAATGAAACGGTAAGGCATACACAAGACCGTTTAGAAGAGAACACCAATCTACTCAATTCTGTTTTGCATTAGTTCAAAACTGAGATTAGTGATTAGACCTTTTAGAGTAAAACTGTCGCGTTTGTGGGTGAGTCAAGTGCTTCTAAAAATTTCACTTGCCTTTTCTTTTCTAGCGGTGTTTCTCTTGCTTATGGTGCCAACTGGAAAAAGTCGTGCAAAGATATGGTACCACTGAGAATGCGTCCTCAAGTCTGTCGAGATACTGTGCGGTAGTACTCCACGTTTTGTAACTGCGACACGTTTTCTGTTACTGCCAAGAATTGCTTCACTCAGAGACTATCTCGTGAAATAAAGTCTTTCCTCATTAAGTAAAACGTAAAAAAAAACAGTAGTAGTAGTATCATGTACCAGGTATTGGTTTTGCTTGATTCAGTTGCTTTGAAATGGCGACTGGCCAACATTGCCGATCATACTAGGCTAGACAAATGTAGTGCTCGTCTAAGAGTTGAAACTTCACCGAATGTTTTGGTCACTTAAGAAGCTCTGAATGTTATTAGTTCAGTTATTTGACGTTAGTAAGGTGCCATAAAAAGAGAAAATCAACGCCATATTCCCCGTGCGTCAATGTGCTGCCGGTAGAGACGGTCAAGGCGGTGTTCATGGCACAGGATGCTGCTAAGACCATGACAGCAATTTTCTCCCTATATCTGTTAGATTCTGTTAACTTCTGCGAATTCAAAACAGCAGTCCGCACAATCGAGTCTCTCGTTTAGTGTCACGCCAGTGCTGTCACTGACTTATGACCAACGTGACACATTAGAAACCTTGACTTGTGAATATAACTAGGATTCATACGAGTCACGTGCACTAGCAAACCACGTCTCAACTCAATTTACAGCTACGCCTTTTGGTAAAAATACGGATAACACAAATCAATAAATAACAATCAAGAACTCCACGAGTAAAATTTTAATCATAAACTTCTTCAATATAAGGAAACGTCTAAAATTCGTAGTCTTGATTTGTTACTTATAATACGATCTACAGCCTCAATCTCAACGACATCGGTGGTAACATTTCTCTTTCAAATAAAGTACATGCACATGGCTGTATTGCCTTCTTGATTCTCCCGCTTAAATTCATTAAATTTAACAGGCTTTACTGATATATCCTAACTTTAATTCTCTTTTTATGAAATTGTCTGCCAAATATTAATCATGCTACGCGTTTAGAGGGTTGCCCCGCCCTGTACAGTGAGACATCTACGTCTTAAAATTTTAACGCTTAACATTAAGAACCCCTTGAACATGTTACATGCATCCGCCAAAGGATGAACGATATTGATTAAAATCTCATATTTATCTACAGAACTATCATTAAAGACAAAAGTGAGCACGCGCGTTGGTCTTAAAGAAAGGCTTTAAGCTGGGCCAAGTCGGATCACGTAAACGCCATTTATAATGGTTCCAAATAATACCTTAATATATCTATACTGGTCGAGTAAAGTCTTACGGTACTGTTAGATCCACTAATCAAAGTTCAAAAGTTTGTTATAAAAATGGTCAATAAAGCCTGATTCTTAAGAAGTTGCCAATGCACTTCCATGCAAACGAGTTCACTTCATTCTTTACTGCTTTGCAGCAAACTTGCAGGCCATTCGGCTTCGCACTATTTAAAACAAAGACATAATCCGCTCTCTCTAATACGACAGCTACGTCAGCATTGTAAAGAGTTAAAAAAAGTGTATTGTTACCGCACCGGTGCGCGCATGATTAATTGTTGCCAAAGAGTTTTACCGCCTTTTTATAAGATCGACTGGCGCACAAAAACGATTACCGGTCGTTTCGATACAAGTTTATTCAGTCGAGTTGTAAATAGTTTCATGAACTTGACTTAAACAACGGAGAATATTCAAGCAAAACATTTTTCTTGTTCACGCTCAAACTATACTTGAGGTGATCGAAATTTTTTGTGCAATTTCAATGCTTGAGTTCGTATGGAAACGACCGGTTTCCACGACAACTAACGTTTTTCACCTTTGTCTTCCGCTGTACATAACTAAACAAAAGTTAAAGTGACCTGATGTTCGTTTGGATGGTGTTTCCAAATGGGCGAGCCACCGGGCTTGGCGGCCATTACAAGTGCGTCCACATCTCCATTGATTGGCCGAAACGTTGACACTGTATTGTAACCGCTGTCGGTAACCCTACGCCGTCTTATACTCCCGTCCAAAGAGTCATCGGGTGAGGAAAGAACGGTCTCAGAGCGAAAAACCATTCGACTGTCCGGAGGCTTAAACCGTAAAACATCCAGGTTATGTCCATCGCTCTTTCGCTGGTCTAGCCAGCGAGCATCATCGTTCACAACGTGCTGGTGGTTCATGTCCGCTCGCATCAGTGACGGACTGTGTCCTCCGCGAGGCGGATGCCGCGGAATTTCGATTATGGTTGCCACCGAAGCTTGGCTTTGGTATTCCGTAGGAGTTCCCATGAAAGTGGAAACCGAAGTCTCACTCCGATACATATTAGCTGAAGGCGAATGAGATAAATTCGTCGGAACGCCACGAAGAGGGGAAATTTCCGGCGAGGCAGGAGAGGGTGGCCTCTCCATGGGAACGTGGATAATCTTATCTTTCTCCTTGTTTTTTCTCGCACGCGCAGACGCAGTTTGGTAGACGCCTCGTTTTAGTGATGCGCCAGGAGGGAGTGATGGGAACTCCTCTTTGGAAGGCGCCGGCGGAGTGTCCAGTCCCAAACGTTTCAACTCGAACATGGTGGCCTGGAGCATATCTATTACTTCGTCGTCATCGTACGGGTAAGAATGCATTCTCTCTTGTAAGAACTGCACAACTTCTTCTAGCCCCATTTTGACGAAAATTTCTAGCAAAAAAAAAAAAAACCAATAAGATTAGTTAGAGAAACACTGACTTGGTCTAATATTTTACAAGCATTTCCTGAAAGCTGTATCACCGCGAAATGTAATGACAATCCTTAATCTAATACTAACTGTAAATGTAATAAACGCTACATCCAAAATGCAAAAGATTTCAGATTTTTCAGAAACTTTTCGGAAAATTTTGTTCTTGTTTAGAAAATTCTGTGATTTATGGTCGTTTAGATAGTGCTCCTTATTTGCCAAAGAAAGGGAACAAAATTAAACCGTACTTCGGTGCATTTTCATAATGTTGTACGCCATTGCAGTAAGAAGTCTGTCTCCTTCCAGCATAAATATGTCCCATAATCTTAGCGTCAAGGTAAACGGTGTCTAACAACAAAACAGAACAACACTATTAGATCCTGCAAGGAATAACATCCAAAAGAAATAATCCGGCGAAAACCAAAGACAGAGATCAAGAGGGACAGAGACGGAATCTTAGGGGGTTAGACGGGATATGAGAATTTTACTTAACTTATCTTGAATTGTTGTCTACACATTTTAATCAAGTCCACAAATCAAGTCCTCAAAGCAAAAAATGCAGAAAATCCTAATGGCGACTGTTGAATTCTCTCTCGACAACGCCGAATAAAAGTTCGCGGACCTCTCCGGAAACCAACTTCCGATAACTACAAGAGTTTAATAGGTCTAAAAATAACTTTGGTGAAATTCACATATCCCAAGGGCTACTAGACTGGGCGTCCCCCCCACCCCGTCAAATTTTTCTCGCTTGAAGAGGCGCAATGTGCACGAAAGAGGCACCTCAATTTTTTTACCTTTTGAGAAAAGAAAATCTGTTTTAAACATTAAACTTCAAATTATCGAGGGGTAAAATACGCTTGGCTGAGGAAGGGAATAAACTGGGATTCGACTCTACAACACAATATAAAAGTGCAAAGTACATACTTGGTGGTGGGAAATTAGCGAGATGTTGAACTTATCTTCAACAACGTAATGGAAAATTTGCCTATGGTTCGTACTTGAATTTCCATGATATAATTGTCAATACGAGAACAAGGAAACACAAACAAGCTTAGGTTGCACCTTTATAGCATGTCCTTTACTTTGATCCCTTGGATCTTATACTATAGAAGCAAAAGCTCACCCTGTCAAGGAAACATTGCATGAACCATTTTAGAGTGTACAGAGTGGAATGACATCCTTCTTTTTCCTGAAACAAAAGACAGACCGAATACAAGATAAGACAAGTGGAATTCAAGATTTTGCATTACAAAGTACAGTTGAACCTCTCCACAACGGCCACCTTGGGGACAGAAGAAAGTGGCCGTTGTAGAGAGGTTGAAACAAGAGTCAATGTATGGACTGTCTGCCCCCCAAAAATGGCCATTGTAGAGACGTGGCCATTGTAGAGAGGTGGCCGTTGTAAAAAGGTTGAAACAAGAGTGAATGTAGGTACTGTCTGCCAAAAAAATGGCTGCTGTAGAGAGGTGGCTGTTGTAAAAAGGTTGAAACAAGAGTGAATGTAAGGACTGTCTGCCAAAAAAATGGCTGTTGTAGAGAGGTGGCTGTTGTAAAAAGGTTGAAACAACAGTGAATGTAAGGACTGTCTGCCAAAAAATGGCTGTTGTAGAGAGGTGGCTGTTGTAAAAAGGTTGAAACAAGAGTGAATGTAAGGACTGTCTGCCAAAAAAATGGCTGCTGTAGAGAGGTGGCTGTTGTAAAAAGGTTGAAACAAGAGTGAATGTAAGTACTGTCTGCCAAAAAAATGGCTGTTGTAGAGAGGTGGCTGTTGTAAAAAGGTTGAAACAAGAGTGAATGTAAGTACTGTCTGCCAAAAAAATGGCTGCTGTAGAGAGGTGGCTGTTGTAGAAAGGTTGAAACAAGAGTGAATGTATGGACTGTCTGCCAAAAAAATGGCTGTTGTAGAGAGGTGGCTGTTGTAAAAAGGTTGAAACAAGAGTGAATGTATGGACTGTCTGCCAAAAAAATGGCTGTTGTAGAGAGGTGGCTGTTGTAAAAAGGTTGAAACAAGAGTGAATGTAAGTACTGTCTGCCAAAAAAATGGCTGCTGTAGAGAGGTGGCTGTTGTAGAAAGGTTGAAACAAGAGTGAATGTAAGGACTGTCTGCCAAAAAAAATGGCTGTTGTAGAGAGGTGGCTGTTGTAAAAAGGTTGAAACAAGAGTGAATGTAAGGACTGTCTGCCAAAAAAATGGCTGGTGTAGAGAGGTGGCTGTTGTAAAAGGTTGAAACAAGAGTGAATGTATGGACTGTCTGCCAAAAAAAAATGGCTGTTGTAGAGAGGTGGCTGTTGTAAAAAGGTTGAAACAAGAGTGAATGTAAGGACTGTCTGCCAAAAAATGGCTGTTGTAGAGAGGTGGCTGTTGTAAAAAGGTTGAAACAAGAGTGAATGTAAGGACTGTCTGCCAAAAAAATGGCTGCTGTAGAGAGGTGGCTGTTGTAAAAAGGTTGAAACAAGAGTGAATGTAAGGACTGTCTGCCAAAAAAATGGCTGTTGTAGAGAGGTGGCTGTTGTAAAAAGGTTGAAACAAGAGTGAATGTAAGGACTGTCTGCCAAAAAAATGGCTGTTGTAGAGAGGTGGCTGTTGTAAAAAGGTTGAAACAAGAGTGAATGTAAGGACTGTCTGCCAAAAAAATGGCTGCTGTAGAGAGGTGGCTGTTGTAAAAAGGTTGAAACAAGAGTGAATGTAAGGACTGTCTGCCAAAAAAATGGCTGTTGTAGAGAGGTGGCTGTTGTAGAAAGGTTGAAACAAGAGTGAATGTAAGGACTGTCTGCCAAAAAAATGGCTGTTGTAGAGAGGTGGCTGTTGTAAAAAGGTTGAAACAACAGTGAATGTAAGGACTGTCTGCCAAAAAATGGCTGTTGTAGAGAGGTGGCTGTTGTAGAAAGGTTGAAACAAGAGTGAATGTAAGGACTGTCTGCCAAAAAAATGGCTGTTGTAGAGAGGTGGCTGTTGTAAAAAGGTTGAAACAACAGTGAATGTAAGGACTGTCTGCCAAAAAATGGCTGTTGTAGAGAGGTGGCTGTTGTAAAAAGGTTGAAACAACAGTGAATGTAAGGACTGTCTGCCAAAAAAATGGCTGTTGTAGAGAGGTGGCTGTTGTAGAAAGGTTGAAACAAGAGTGAATGTAAGGACTGTCTGCCAAAAAAATGGCTGTTGTAGAGAGGTGGCTGTTGTAAAAAGGTTGAAACAACAGTGAATGTAAGGACTGTCTGCCAAAAAATGGCTGTTGTAGAGAGGTGGCTGTTGTAAAAAGGTTGAAACAACAGTGAATGTAAGGACTGTCTGCCAAAAAAATGGCTGTTGTAGAGAGGTGGCTGTTGTAGAAAGGTTGAAACAAGAGTGAATGTAAGGACTGTCTGCCAAAAAAAAAAAAGCTGTTGTAGAGAGGTGGCTGTTGTAAAAAGGTTGAAACAACAGTGAATGTAAGGACTGTCTGCCAAAAAATGGCTGTTGTAGAGAGGTGGCTGTTGTAAAAAGGTTGAAACAAGAGTGAATGTAAGGACTGTCTGCCAAAAAAATGGCTGTTGTAGAGAGGTGGCTGTTGTAGAAAGGTTGAAACAAGAGTGAATGTAAGGACTGTCTGCCAAAAAAATGGCTGTTGTAGAGAGGTGGCTGTTGTAAAAAGAAAACAACAGTGAATGTTGAAAAAATGGCTGTTGTAGAGAGGTGGCAAAAAGGTTGAAACAACAGTGAATGGACTGTCTGCCAAAAAATGGCTGTTGTAGAGAGGTGGCTGTTGTAAAAAGGTTGAAACAAGAGTGAATGTAAGGACTGTCTGCCAAAAAAATGGCTGTTGTAGAGAGGTGGCTGTTGTAAAAAGGTTGAAACAAGAGTGAATGTAAGGACTGTCTGCCAAAAAAATGGCTGCTGTAGAGAGGTGGCTGTTAGTGGAGGTTAGACTGCACAGAAATGAGCATGTAAGCAACATGATAGACTGCGAGCGGTCTCATATTAAATTTTTTCTTTGAAAAAGTTACTTCACGCATAACCTGCGCACGTGAGTGGATCAATAATTTCAAACATCTGGACCTATAGAATGAAAACATTCACAAATGACTCTCATTCAGAATTTTATTGACTTTTTACCAAGGCAAATAACTACTAGCTTCGCCAAGTCTCTACATAGCTCAGTGGGCAAGAATTCCTGGGCATGAGCAATGAGTGGGGTCTTAATTTCACCACACTCTCTCTCTCTTGTTTCTGGGCTACAATAACAAACTAGAAATAACACTTACTGTGAAACTCACAAAACCGTGAACACCAGGAATATTTATGGATTGTTATTGTGTCGCAAGAAATTAGCCAATAAGGCACGAGATAACTAAACCGCCAACAGCAACGGTAATTAGTTTCTGGTTTGAGGTTTGCTTGTGCATCCTGAACTTTATTATAATTAGCCAGTGCACAATCAACATTCCTGAAATTTTTCAGGTGTTCACAGTTTTCTGAGAATAAGTTGGTGGAAATAGATCAGATTGAAAAGTATGGGGAAGGGACTGGGGGAGTCCAGGAGCCTTCCCCAGGAAAATGTTAACTTTGTGAAGGGGTGCTGCAAGGACTGCAGAGCACAGTTTGGTGTATTTTGACTGACCTGGGATAGAATTTCAGCCATGGGGAATACACCTTATAATTTTTTATATCTACATTTCCTTTATTTTACAACATGTCTGTTCTGTTCACTGTTGTTGCTTGTGGTCTAGTTTTCTCACCCCTAATTGGCTTTTTTCTACAACACAATATCATTCCAGTCGGGTGATCACAGAACAGCCAGTCTGACAGAAAACTTACCAAATTTTTAAAAAGTCTAGACAACAACTTCTTTAAAATCCTATCATGGTGCTCTTGAAATCTGAGCAGCTTGGGAAAACCAGGCACAAAAAACCCTGCAAAAGAATTAAATATCTATAGTGCCATGTCACTACATAATGTCAAATGAGCATACACTGTAAGCTTAGGTCCATAACTATAAATTAAATTATTATAACATTAAATTAAATTAATCAAATTAAATTATCTAACTTAAATTAATTAAATTAAATTAAATTAAGTGGATTACGGACTTGAGCAATGACAGGGTCATTGCAACATATCACGATGTCCTTACCATGCATAGCATGTTTTTTATCGGTGAGAAGTGCTGACAATGCCCAGAAAGCATCCTAGTAGAAACAAAACAAATAAAATTTGTTACTGGTAAATCAGAGAGCAGTTCTGCAAAATGCCACCTTTGATTCTAAGCTACTCTCATGTTGAATCGACAATTGAATTAGGGCTAGGAAACAAAGTAAATAGAGAATCAACCTTAGCTTAAATAATTTTAACCTGAATATGATTTTGACCCGTAACACACACAATGACAACAGCAAATATACAAAAAATTCAACATGGCTACTTTTGGGACAATGATTAAGGTGAGAGATTTCAGTTCCGTTCCTGGTAAACAAAACTCATTTTTCCACTTGTTACATTCCTTTGTATGTGAAATAGCTCACCTCTTCATTTAAGTACATAAGAAGCAGAGCTGCTATTCCACTCATGCCTTGACAATATCCCACCTCCTACAAGTGAACAAGAAATACAATGCATGTACATGGTTTCATTACAAATACTTGAGGTTCTTTGTGTTCTTTGCCCAGTTGATCAAAAGGTGGATAACGCTATCCAACGTTTGAACAACCGGAGCTTGAACTGTACATCTAAGGGCAAGATAAAAAGAAAAAAAAATTCAAGGCTGTGCCCCTCTTATTAAGGGTCTAAGTGAACAGGCCCCGTCTTACTTGAAGATCTGAGTCAGCCACTGTTAGCTACCCCTAAACTTGCTAATGATGAAATTAGGCATCCTTTTAAAGAGTTGATGTCTGTTTTATTTTATTCTCTGAGTAATTAAATACCACTACAACAATTTTTTTCAGAATTAATGAAACAATCATGCAATTACGAGTTGACCTCAAGATAGCAAAAGTTAGTCAAGGTGGCTCAGTTCTAATCATTATACATTATAAATAAACAAAAGGACATTTGAAAAGGAAAATTAGTAATATAAAAATAATAAAAATGAAAAAAGAAGGGAAGAGAAGATGAAGAGTGTGTAATTTTTCTGAGAAAAGGCAGCAGAAAAGACAAATATTCTACTTTAGCTCTTTTTTATCATATTGTCTTTGAACTATAAATAATAATATTATATTTATGTCAGCATAGGAATCTTCTGCTTTTAGAAAGTCAAACAGTGCATGTTTTAGTTCTTTTGTGGAGAGCTTTTTTGACAACGTAAGTCTTTTGGTATTACTTTTCATCATTACCTTATTCCACACACATGTATTTATCCTACTAGCTTAAATTAACTACACACAACATAAAAACTTACCACATTATACATAGAGTAGGCTGCAAGAACATGAAACAATGCTTGTTGCCTGAAATTTCAAAAAATTCAGAATACAAAGTTACAGTGGTGTTTAAGTTCTACCAAGTTTGACATAAGATTCTACAAGGATGGGGAACAGATTCAAAGAAATATAACTTGTGAAGGAACCAAGTAGCATTCATCAGTACAGCTGGCATAGACAGTTTAGAAATTATTTTAGTGTCTTATCATGCACATGTATCTTATTGTGTGATTATTTATGATCAAGAAGAAATCAGTATAGAACTGCTCAACACATGAGTTTTATTTCTATATTTTGAAAATGAAATGTATATATTTTTTTAGAATTTTTACTTTGATACCCCAAGATTGGAAGCAAATGCTGACTTACTTGATTCCATATCTGTCCCTAAACATGATGTGATCTCTGTAGGTTCTGTTCACATCAAGGTCAATCTGCCGAATGTCTGGAGACTGTGTCCTTGCAATTCTTTTCATAGACTACAAAGCAGAATAATAATGTGAAGGAGATATTATGTAATATCATGAAATCATAATAAATTACTAATAGAAATATGACTGGCAAATAAGACAACCCAAATTGAAGTTTTGTAACCTTCTTGCAGAAATACCTACAGAATGCTTTTTAATCACATTCTGGGCAAAGATTGGTATTGGGAGGAAAGACAAGGAAAATGAAGTCAAAATCAAGGAACTTGCAAGAAGTATGCAACAGGTGAGAGAGCCTACGAACTTATTGTAAAACAAATTAAAAATTCGTTAAAATACAAAAAAAAAGAAAAGAATTATCACTTCAACAATGGTTACAGGTGTATGTCAGTGTTATGTATTCGCTAGTTACTTGTCTGTGCCAGGTTGTAGTTATACACATGCGCATTAAAAAGCTGCAGTGCTTGTGAGTGGACGGCCATGTTGAAACTTGTGTGTTTGATGTTGTGTGTTTCATCTAGTTAAATCTGTTTGTGTTTAAAACCAGCAACTGGTTTCTCCATATTTAACTGTTAGGGTTCAAGCTTTTCCTTTGGTTACAGGAACCAAACCAAATACATGTAGAGCGTACATGGACAACATTAAGGAATTTTGGTTGTAAAGTCCTAGAAATGTAATTCAAATCTATATTAATACAATAATGTAGTGATATACCTCATAGGTTGTAGTTTTGTCTGGAATCCTATCAATGCCCAGGAGCTTCCTCCAAGTTTCCCCTCGCATAGAGTTTGGAATGCCTTTATAGACTCGTCTTCTTAGCTATAACAGAACACATAAGTTCTTACAAGATGAGACATACATGTATAGCCTAGGTCTTCTTCCACAACAATACTATTCATGAAGTATCAAACATTATTTGAAAGGCAATATACATGCAGGGTTGTCACTAAAATTTCAAGTTGCCGCATAAATACAACAAGTAGGCAGGGAATCAAACAGCAAGGAATTTCTTTTGGTTTTATTTTTCTTCTATTTTCCAATAAAAGTAGCCGGGGACCACACTCATAGTAGCCGAGGGAAATCCCCAGCCCCCGGCTTTTAATGACAGCCCTGTACATGTATATTTCTACTATTATCACATGTAGTAAATGTTTTACATTGACAGGTCAAATTTGATTTCAGGTTAAAACTTTTTAACCTAGGTTAATCCTCTATTTCCTTTGTCTCCTAGTCAATAGAATTTGGTACAGTGGTTGCTCTACTACTTACAGGCATAACACATGGCATGTGCCCACTGGATTTTATTTTGATTTCAGATGCTCAGAAATGCTTTGCAACGGCCATGCTTTTCCATGTGGAAAGATGACATCTGCAAGAGGCCTGGGCTCAAATGTACAATTAAAATACAGCAGCCATATTTCAATGTTGCGGCGACGTTGTGAAGTGTAGTGATTGTACACTTTGGTCTGCTGACAGGCTATTCATTTTGAAAAACTGAAGAAAGGTACATTGCCAAGCGACTACTGTAACAGTCAATAATTATTTTACAAAGTCATTTACTCGCTCTCTTATTTGCATTTGATAGATGAATTGATCGATTGGTCAAAGAACTGTGACAGCCGTAACACTTACTTTTGGCACTGGTGACAGGTGTTAGGGATTACGGGTTCAATTGAGAACCCTGCAGACATAACCTATATTATGTACATTTAGTAGAAGGAAACTCTCTTCACCTTTTCTCCACGAATATACTTGTCCCAGTTCTTGACCATCTTCACCCATTTTTGCGTTCTCTCTCTTTCCAGTGCAAGAAGCTATTGGGAAATGATAAGAAACCAACAAGTTCATATCATCTAAACTACATGCACTTGTAATGTACTGTTTCCCTGCAACTTTAAAGTTAGGCATACATGGAAAAAATTGTACAGCATCACACAACTGCATGCTACAGACCATCATCATATTTTCAATGAGATTGGGCATGAGCAAAGAGGCAATGTAGATGAAAGTACAGTGTATAACAATGTTTAAAATGTTACAACCTTTCAGCTCCATGCATCACACATAGAAATGAAGTAAGACTCAAATAAGAAAATGTCTGGGAAATGTTGATTTTGGGATATATTCTAAAGGTACTTGTATGTACATGCAGTGTTAAACATGGACTATTAGTATTTTAATGGCAATTTTTCTTTTCCTTTTACAGAAATTTCACACTAAACCAGAACTATGGTCCAAGCATTTACCCCGACCATCCAAACAACATAGCAGCTAACAGAAGAAACCATTAAATGTATGATTTTTCCTAAAGAAAGAAAGTAGGTAATGCGTTGTGTTTTTCTTCGTTTACGTATTGCCACAAAATAAACCAGTAGCCGGAGTGGCAAGGTAACTACTGTACATGCCATAGTACTTGTATTGACCTCTTTACTCACATAACTGTATCTCACAGCTACAAAGTAAGAAGCCAATACTCAAACTCAAATCCCAATGGAAAACAAGACACTAATAAGTTGATAACTATTGTATAGGTACCTTTTCATCTCTTTCTTCATTGAGCTGGTTTTTGCTGGAGGAAAAGACAAAAGGTAAGAGAGAATTTACATCACATCAACAGCCACTTAAAGTCTAGGTTCTGAGGCTCTTTGAGGATAATACAAAACTTGATTAGGCCTGTTAAACAATTTGACCAAAAAAGAAACTCTGTGCGAACTTCAAAAGCAACTCAAAAGGCTTTCCAACTTCTCAGGAACTGCATACAAAGAAACACAGTTGTTGACATGAAACATTAAGGAGCTCTGACGAACTTGTTTGAGAAGTGTTCCTGTGTTCTAATGGCCACACGGGGCATCATCACAGCTGCACGGCTGCACGTGTGAGAGTGACTGTCTATTTTAACTCTCTTCATGAGCCACAACCAAGTCTTAGGCTAAGTACGTGGTGGCCAATTCAAAAGCAAATGCTACTTTGGCCACCACACACATTCAACATACAAATGACTCTGTTTTACCAAGTATTTAATTGACTATTCAAGGAAATCTGTAATTCTTACATCTTAAATCTGTGAACTTTTACTTAAATAGTGTGAAATAAAATAAACCAATAAAGCAACTGGAATTTGACAGCGAATTGTTGGCTTTCAAGGAGAGGAGCAAACTGGAGTTAACTGTAGAAAAAGTCCTTGGAGCAAGGGCAAGGAACTAACAGCAAACTGACCCCACAAATGGTATTGATGGTGGGGCTTGATCTTGGACCACACTGATGGCAGCTGCCTAAATGCTGACTCGCTACTGTACATGTATCAACTTAGTTCCCCATAAAGATGGACGTTATTATTACTAACAGTGGAGCCTCAACATAATGAAGGCCCAGGGGACTGGCAAAAATTTGTTTGCCATTCGTTATATCAAGGTTCTTTTTCATATTACTATTTTTCTGAGGCGAAGAATATAGTTTATTATACCAAGGACTTTTTTATACAGAGTTTCATTATATCAAGGTTCAACTGTAAAAGTTCTAGAAACCAGGTACCAGTAATGTCCACAATGACCTAACTTACTGGAGAAAACCGTATCTATCAGTCACTTTGTAAACAAAGAAGTTTGCATCTTCCCAGTCGTCTATTTCGGCATTTTCATCATATCCCTAAAGAGTTAAGAATCAATAATACAAAATACTCCATTACAATAATAAACAGACAGAAGAGCATAAAGGTGGTAATAAAAACACTATAAAAATTTTGACGTACACTTGCTGTAACTTTGACAGCAAAACCAAACGCTGTCAGAAAATTTACAGGTCATGAAAATGAGCAACCACTTAGTGCACTAAAAAAAATAATAGACACTGAAATGCAAGGGGAAAACAACCTTAGAAATGAAAAAAAAACCCTACAGTATATAGTGTCATTCACCTGTTCAAAAAAAAAAATTCTACTAATTTGAACTAAATAATGATATAGACATTAATATTATGCATGAAACTCACTCTGTCATATTTTGTCACTATATTGCGTCTTGTCTTTTCATAATCTTCATCTATTTCAGAGGAAAAACCTGAAGAACAAAAAAATATATATCAGACAAACTCACAGGACAAGGGTGAAATAACAATGATTCACATTTCATGGGCAGGCTTTGGCAACGAGTTAACTATGGGCAGAGTGTCTGCATTGACTAACATGAAAAGAACATTTCTAGAGAAGCGTTGTGGTTAGGCCTCAAAGTGGAATCTTCCCCACCAAATTGGTGATAAAAAGGAAAATAAAATGGAAAGGATCGTGACAACATTATGTACATAAAAACAAAATTGCACTTTCCAGATTTATGTGTTATTAATAAAATGCTCTCTTGGGTGTCTACAATGTAACTCTTAAATTATCTTTAAAAAAAAGTATGCTAAAACATATCACCTTCCACTCTGACTAATGTGTTCATAATCATTATTTCTACAAATTGGCATTACTAATATATTCTTATTTGATTTACAGTGTATAGCTATTTTTACATTGTAACACTGTAGTTTAGTTTAGTTTTCAACAATTTTTTCATTTTCTATGGATTTACATAAAAATCACAGGAATCTTGCAGTACATGTAGTTGTTATTAATTGGTGAAATTATAAGGACCTGTATTATACAAACATACACTGTTTACAGGTAGCCATTATGACTCCTGAAGGAGGGTCATGAGGTTATCCTTATATCAGGGCTTCTGATAGGTCGAGGAAAAAAAGTCAAATTTTGGGGGATTTTTAAGGACAAAATCGCAGAAAAATCGGTCGATTTCGCAGGAATTTTGTGGGAATTTTTGGCGCAAACTTGGCTGGAAAGCAATCAGTAAAAAACAGTGGATTTTGTGGTTATTTTCAGGGCAAATTTCACTAGAAATCGATCGGTTTTGTGCTGATCAGACCAGCATTTTTAATGTTTTTCTAACAGAGGTCATCATTAATTTGCTCTTTCAACAACAATACGCTCCAGAAATGAACCAATGGAAAAGCCTTTAACATCATGGCTAGTGCCCAGTTTTTTGCAACATAATCTACGCCTGGTAGTTTCGGAACGTTGTTTGCACATTTCAATCACGAAGTTTTAACATAAATTTGCGAGTTTATGGCAAGTAAATACCCCCAGTAGCCGAGACAAGTTTCAAAATTGCTGTACAGACATGTATTAGATAACATTTCTACTGAATTTTGCGGTATTTTGCATGTTTTTGTGAATTTCGCGGGATTTCACGGATTTACCTGAATTTCGCGGCTTCGTGACCGCGCGAAATATCAGAAGCCCTGTTATATTAAGATCGATCCCTACAGATAACCCACCCATCCCAGGAAACGTTGGCTACACCACCGGGGTCTATGTCCCCTACTCTCGAGCAGTGGTGTGGGTTCTTTTATATCCCACAAGAATCAGATAAGTGAAAGCCCTGTGAGATGGGACCTATGGTTTTTCATCCTTATCCAAGAAGACTAGAAAGGACAACCATTTGCAGATGTCATTACAAAGGCAGCACTTTCTTCTCAGTTATTTAAAGACCCTGAGTGTTGGTCAGGTGGCAGTATTTTATGCTGCAATAGAGCTGATCATCTATTATTTAGCAAACATAAAGAGAAGTGTGATAAGAGGCAGAAAGACTTGATGATGATGGGCCAAAAAAGGATACTTATAAGTTACAAATCAGCACCTAAGATTTATCCACCAAAATAAACTCTCATACATATTACGAGTACTTTATGCATGTGATGTCCACTGCTGCTATATGTACATATTATTGTACTATTTGAGTTGCATCATAAAAAAGGTTTTTTCGGCTTCACATCCATCACCATCAACCATTTGGATTTAATTCCACATCCGAGGACTACTAGACTTGAGGTTTGCACAAATAAAACCAACACCTTACTAGTCCATTGCAACAAGTAAAATTAAAAATGTTTTCTAACCCCACAAGCTACCGAGAATGAAACATCCTGTATAAAGTAGTGCAAGGCATTAAACTTACACTGCATAAATCATGACTTGTAAACTATGGTTACAGGGATGTAAAAACCACGCAGGCACAGGGTGGTCAGACAGTTTTGAAGTAGATGGCTGAGTTGTAAAACTAGGCGGCCAATTCAGGGATATCTTATTTAAAAAACGCAATCCGTAAAGAAATGCCAAGCAGAGTAGCTGGCCAATACTAACCAAGTAGGCACCAATTTTCGCCGACAGCCGGCTACTTTTAATAACTCTGCAGGCTTGCTTATTAGACAATCTGGCATTTTTATTTAACAGCACATTCAAAATTAGCCCGTCTTTGTTTTTCTAGGGCATTTTGAGCATGGTAAGCTTCCTATAAGTTGGTAAAATTAGCCACCAGCCGACTTTTATTGACATCCCTGTGGTTATGGGTTTTTTCCATGAATGAAGAACTGCACACCTACTTTTCATACATGTACATGTGATCAGCTTGATAGAGCCAAGAAGCTGCCTTTAGAACAAGTTTTTCATAAGGAGCTACAAGTGATCATACACCAAGAAGTGAGAAAGGAAGTATTATGATAATAACGTTACTAATGTAGGCAAATTCCATTTTTAAATGTACTGTATCACAAGATCAGAGATGCATTACAGAATGTGTGTATGCACGTTACAGTTTATAGATCAAGTTTTGAATTAAGGAATGGACATTTCTAACCACCAATAATTTACACATGTACTGATATCATTTTCAACTAATAACGACAACTGTAGGAGAAAACAGTTTACAGGCATCCCATATTCAAGTGAGATCATGTATTAAACTAAATTTATCATATAAGATAGGAATCATGCAGATAACATCTACACATAAAGTGTAATTCCTTCAAAGGATAATTCTTAAAACAATATTAGTTCAAGACAATATAAGATGATAATTAAATCTGAGTTAAGACTTAATTGGTACCAATATTTTACCACTGTCGCCTTCATTTCTCCGGATAGTTTACATGCTAGCCTCTTAAATTTAACCCTGGGAAAGATAAACAACTCCGAGTACAAAGCCTTTTTTTCTTTCACTGGCTTTTGAAATCAGACCCTTGTGGTTTAAATCATGAGGTGACACTATTACATACACGAAGAGTGTCAAAAATCAAATAAGATAGCAAAATATGCGGATTTCTATTGAGTTCCATACATCACATTCGTACAACATTTAATATTTTTACATTCCCAGTGGCAGGTATATCAAACAAAATAGAGTTGAAGAAAAAAGAAGAATGATGCCTGCTTTTACTAGAGTTGAAAGGCTTCCAGCGGCAAAATTTGGCAATACTCACGTGGACACTTCGTACGTACTTCTCAAGTATGAAGTAAGATAGCTGTTTACAATGATTTCATAAGCTAAGCGATGCGAAACGCAAACGACCTTATTCAAAGCCAGCTAGACAGATTTATTGATTTAACATCGTCGCTACTAGAGGATTAACGTAAGAATGGCGATAAAACCCTTTACTATGATAACATGTTAGGTAGAATTCTAAGCATTTTTCTTATTTCCTAATAAAATTACCGTCTTCGAACGTACAAACAAGTATGCATGTTAACGCATAGAGTAAAAAAAAGTCGTAATAGACTGCAACAGGGTTTAATCTAGCCTTACTAAAGTGGCAGTGTTTTATAACGCACTTAAATAGACTTGGCCCTTCTTCCGCTAGCTGAATGTCAGTTTTATACCGAGTGGATATTTTCAACACACTTCATACAGAGGCGATCGACTGATAACTTAACGTTTCACACAAGGAAACTTACTCATTTTGACGGTCCTGGACTGAATTTACGAACTCCGGGTGTTACTGAGGTGTGGAAGCGGGTCCAAGCAAACAATTTAAGTTCATAAGGCTCCTGTTATTGAGCTGAACAACCAGTTTCCTCTAAGCTTTTCGTAGTAGGGTGTTGTGAGACTGAAACATCAAACCTTTAGGGAAATAAGCCAGAAATCCAGCCCAATCGATGCTCGATCAATAGCTACAGCCACGAAAATCTCTGTAAACGTGATTACTTCATACAGCGAGCATTTCTCGAACCAAAAAGACTCATTCACGAGTTGTAAATGGAGAAGAAACCTCCCCCTCTTTCGACACAAATTTCAATGTATTTGCATTGCAAGTGAATCCTGCTACACTTCGAATGCGCATGATCTGTGTGTTGGCGCCTCGTTCCCACGAGGCGTCTCGCACCCCCAGTAACCCCAGGGGGACAAACACGGGGCTGTCCTTCCTTTTTTGAAACACAGCAAGAACAAACCAGTGGACTGCTCCATAACCACCTCAAGAAAACGATGTCAACTCAGAGAATCATAAAACGGCAAACAGATATATATATTTTTAACAAATTTGCCCAATACAAACCTTCTTCAGGGGCTAAAGAAAGTTCTTCAGCCTCTGAAGAAGGTTGGTTTTCCAACCAAAATATTGGGCAAATTCAAAAAATATATATTTTTTGTTTAGTTCTTTTGTTTACTTCTTCATCGCCCTGCCGTAAGGACCAGTTTGCCGTTTTATGATTTTCTACACGTCATTATTGTACTGATCCAGGTCTACAACTGGTAGATCCGGCACCACTCAACGGTTTGTCGCTGCGGACTTGCTGATATTTCAGTAGCGGAGCTCTCTTGCGC